TCAATCCGAACGACATCACCAAAAATTCATAATGCCCGCTGTGAGTGCGGAAAGCAGTCTTATGCACATCCGGGGCAGCCACCCGAATCTGATGGTATCTGGAGCGTAAGTCTATTTTGGAGAAAACTATAGCTCCCGCTAGCTCGTCTAACATCTCCTGTATCACCGGAATTGGGTACTTATCAGGTACCGTTGATTTGTTTAGCTCCCCGTAATCTACACAAAATCGCCAACTGCCATGCTTCTTTTTGACCTTTTTGACCAACAAGACCGGGTTCGAAAATAGGCTAGAACTTGGTTGAATAATACCTGCCTGAAGCATTTCATCTAGAAGCCTCTCAATCTCGTCTTTCTGCAGGTGTCCATACCGGTATGGCCGAACTGACACATGCCGTGCTCCGGGAATTAGCTCAATGCGGTGGTCCGTGGTGCGGCGAGGTGGCAGCCCCTGTGGCTCCCGGAATACCTTGGTATACTGCCCGAGGATGTCATCTATCGTACCCGAAACTGTCCCCGATAGTTTGGCAGGTTCATTGACCAAAACCACGGCACAAAACTCTACCTCCGTGGTCTCAACTCTTAAGCAAGGATCGTAGGCTTACGGCGTTTTTACACATTGCTGGATCATCTTTCAGCTCTATTTCTCTGCCTTCAAGCTCAAACTGCATCGTCATTTTTTTCCAGTTGGTTCAAACCTCTCCCAATGTGGCTAACCAAGCCACACCCAATATGACATCAACCCCGGCCAACGGGAACACAAAGCAATCCGTTTTAACACCACATCCTGGTAACAACACCGCTAACTGTCGGCAAACCCCTTCTGACTCTTGCCTATGTCCATCCCCTATCTGGACCCCAAATTTACCAATCTTATCCGGTTTCAAGCGTAGCAGTGATACTAAAGAAGAGGAAATAAAATTGTGACTGGCGCCACTATCAATCAGGATCGTTATCGTGCAACCCCCAATCACTCCCGGAAGCCTCATCGTTTGCGGGCTGAAAATTCCAGCCATTTCATAAACTGGAAAATCACCCTCTTCGCCATCAGACTTGTCATTGTTCTCCGGAAATTCTTCCAGTCATGTGACCTCGTAATAGTCATGTTGTTGCAAGTCCAAATCTTCGTCTTCCTCAGCAAGCATTACCCTTAATTGTTTAAAAGGGCAGTCATGGCCAGGCGTGAGAGGCTTCCGGCACCTAAAACACAACCCTTTAGCCCGCAGCTCTTCCCACACCTTAGGGGGAAGTCTGGTGAACCTGGAACGGGCGGTGGACTGACCAGACAGCCCCGACGTGGTCCCGGCAGCCGGTGTAGATGGTCCCTCGATCTGACCCGATGCTTTTGAGAAGCTGCCAGTCGTATTGCGTGAGCTGCCGCCACTCCCAGATGGTGGTGGGCTCGTGTAGGGACAGGAATAACCACTGGAACGTGTCCCCGGAGAAATATAATTTGGACCGCTTCGTCCTCTATTCTGAATGGACCTTAGCCCAGATAATCAACGATATAAATACCGTTGCCCAGAGCCAAAAGGCTAAAACCAATTTTATCCAACAAAAGCAAGAATGAACCCTGACAAGGGGTATAAATAGCCTTCTAAGAGAAACCCTAATCGAGTTGAAATTAATTAAATCCTAAATAAGTACATATTAACTCTACTAAATACTCTTCTAATAATAGGCCCAAACTAGAAAACATAACATAAACTTTATAATAATAAATAAAACTATAACCCTAGCCCACAACCAGCCCACGGAGGTGGGCCCAAGCCCGTTCCCGCCCCTTGATCTCTCTGCTCTCTATCAAGTTCCTAGATTTCCATGTCCATTTTACATATCAATCCTGTAATAGTTTGTAATGATCATAGCAATTATTTCAATCCGTCGCCATGTAATGATTTTTTTTGCATGCAAGTGAAAAAACCTATCATCATAGTGGTTTTGGAATTTCATCTCAATATGCCATCATAAGAAGGTTTTGCTTTGGAGGGCATCCGTGTAGAACTTCGTTATGATATTCTTTTGCATGATGTTATATTTTTAACAAATTTTAGACAGTCAATTAGTCGATTCATGTTAGCCGACCACAAACTCTTTTGGGATTAAGACTTTGATGTTGTTGTAGTCCATTAATCAGCACCGTAATTGCCTACCACCAACCCTGACAATTTTAGTGAAGGTGGTGGTGATGATAGAAGGAGTGATTTTATATTTAGATGGGAAGAATTTGAGTCTATATTGCAAAAGTTTTGTTACCATCACGACATCACCACAACACCACCTCCACTGTATTTCATGGATAATTTGATCGAGATAGTAGAGTACATGTAGATTATTACCCCTTTGCATGGATGCATTGTATGTTATATGAGAGTGTCAAGGTGTAATACTTAATAAGAAATTCAACATGTTAGATTTTCCTAGCAACCTGCCTAATCATGGGCTGGAGTAATTGAACTATGCCAGAATTATTCATTTCTAGAGTAGATAATGCAAACGATTCAATCGGGGGTGGAGACAAGGGGAGGTTGGCGGGGCCCTTGGCCCCTCCAAGAAAATTGTGATGTATATACATCATCATCATTACCTCAGTGCCACAAAGGCCCTCACCTACGGTGAGGTAAGGGAGGAGGTCGGATGTACGCAGTCTTACCCCTGTACTAAAGCACAATGATAGAGAGCGGGAAGAGCATGGGGCAGGACCAGGCTTAGGCCCACTTCCGTGGGCCGGGATAGGACTGTCATTATAGTTTATTTATTATTATTAAGTTAATGTATGTTTTGGTTTGGGCCTATTATTAGCAGAGTACATAGTAGAGTTAGTATGAGCCTATTATTAGGATTTAATTAATTTGGGCTTGATTAGGGTTTCTTGTAGAAGGCTATTTATACCCCTCGCCAGGGTTCATTCTTGTTATCTTGGAATATATGTTGGTTTAGCCTTTTGGCTCTGGGCAACAGTATTTTTTATCGTTGATTAGCTAGGCAACGGCTCACCCCGTTAATTTTATTTTTCCGTTACATAAAAATTGGTCCGACCTGCCGGATCCCATCCCGCCAAGATGATGAGAATGCAGAACGATCGTTTGACAAGAGACCGAACAAACCCTAATTAAACAGAAGCTAGCTGGATGCGCTGGGACTGAAGCAAGATGCGCAGGGACTGATGCTGGAAGAGCACGGAGTCCAGCTCGCGGAAATCACGGCTTCGCTGGCAGTGATCGCGAAAGCCATGGCCCCGCCGGAGAAAGTTTCGTCTGCGAGCCCCCTAAGCGACTTCTCCGTTCATGGCGCACCGGTGACCTTCGTCGCTGGCAATCTGCGCAGTGCAACATCCACCCTGCTTCCCTCGTTCGATGGCGAAGACCCCATCGGTGGATGGCGAGAGCCGAGCAACAGTTTGAACTCAATGAAACCCTACCAGACAGAAAAGTGGCGGCGGCTACGGTGGCTATGGAAGGGGCTGCCTTGTATTGGGTGACTTGGTTGAAAGGGCGCAAACCCGGCATGTCCTGGGAAGACTTCAAGCAGGCCCTGATGGCTAGATTTGATTCCTGATATCAGGGAAACAGGTTTGAACGGCTGTCCTGCGTCAAACAAATTGGGTCTGGGAAGATTACAACACCTTGTTTGTCCAAGTGGCTAGCCAAGTAACTGGATTGACTGACGATCATTATTTGGGCTATTACATGAGTGGGCTTAAGGAAACAATCCGAAGCTCGTTGCGTTTACTTCAGCAAGAAAACCTGGAGACAACTATGGAATTAGCTCGCGATGTGGAGCATAATCTTTCCGTCCAAAGTGGAGGAAGTGGCAGCCCGAATTATAGTTCTTCAGGGGTACGTTCCAGCAGCTTTTTAATGGCAAACATGGTTCCTCAGTTGATTGCCAGTGGTGGCAGCTTACATGGTTCAGGGGCAGCTTTGCGAAAGATAGTGGACAGCCTCTAGGGACAAAGTCAGGGCTGTCCGGGCAGCCTACGACACGCTCTCAGTTCACTCGTCTTGCGCCAAAGGAGTTAGCAGAATTGAGGGCGAAAGGATTATGCTTTAGGTGTAATGATAGCTGAGGAGGATGAAGAGTTGGACCTCCAACAACATGAATACTGTGAAATAACCGGCCAGGAAAGGGTTCTGGAAAGAGAAGAAGGATATTTTCCAGTCTATTCTATGTCTGGAAATTTCAGTCCCCGATCTGTGAGATTTCAACCTTGAGGACAAGGTTATTTTGAAGGAGGATGGATTGATAGAGAGCGGGAGGGGCATGGGGCGGGACCGGGCTTGGGCCCACTTCTGTGGGCCGGGTTAGGGCTGTCATTATAGTTTATTTATTATTATTAAGTTAATGTTATGTTTTGGTTTGGGCCTATTATTAGTAGAGTACTAAGTAGAGTTAGTATGGGCCTTATTAGGATTTAATTAATTTGTGCTTGATCAGGGTTTCTTGTAGAAGGCTATTTATACCCCTAGCCAGGTTTCATTCTTGTTATCTTGGAATAAAATTTGGTTTAGCCTTTTGGCTCTGGGCAACGGTATTTTTTATCGTTTATTATCTGGGCAACGGTTCACCCCGTTGATATTATTTTTCCGTTACATATCACACAAAGAGACTGTTTCCGGATGTGATGTATATACATATGTATAAATATTTATAAGTAGTAAAAAATATAGTGAACATTTAAGCTTTGACCCCGCTATATAAATTCCTTAAGCTCCGGCCCCCCAGTCTGCCATTCCTGGCTCCGCCATTAAATCATTTAATCTATTTGTTTATGAAGATATCTAGTGCTAATCAATGTCCTTGTTTAAGCTTTTATAGCTTTTATGTAACCATGTAGTTTGTGATATGACTATATGAGTAATTCACTAAATCCCAGTCTTGCATGGTGCAACGATCTGGGATAGCTAAGTTTTCAAGAAAGTGTACACACGTGGCTGTTCAGTATCCCTCAAGTAAATCACCAAATCTGCCAAACTCACAGTAGCGTGCTTGTCTGTCTGCAGTATTTGAAGGACCAAAAGCTTCCTCCCCAGACATTTATACCGCTTAAATCCGTACGAGTAAAACCGGTAATGGAGAAGCTACGAACATTACCTGGAACTGCAAAGCTTGTGTTCGATGTCATCCAGTATCCTCTTTCTCTACATTTTCTTTTATATTCAATGGTTTTCTTTGTAGATTTGTTTAACACATGCAATTTCTTCCCACTGTGGTGTTATCATGTGGCCATGCAGTGTTCTTTGATTGCCTAAAACCAATAATAGTCAAGTCACCTTACTCTTTGTGAATTTGAAAAGAATTAGCATTTTTGCTATGGAGATAGTATTAAAATGTGGGCATGGCGCCCCATCAATTTTCTCTAGTTTTACTATGCAAGACTGGTATCAATTTGCTATTTTGTTTCTGTCCTGTAAATTATGATATCAAATCCAAACAGATGCCATGATGGTTATGTGCTTAACATATCAGATTTGATCCAGCTTTGGAGAGGGCAATAGTATTTGCTGTTGGTAATACCTTAGTATGTGATAAGCTTGATGAAGCCAAGCGTCTTGGCTGGAACGGTGAAAGATATAAGGGTAATCTAAAATTTATATTTTGTATGGTCGTTAAATATCTGCTGCCACAAATCCATCTGTACTAATAGCTTGCTTGTGAATGTAGTTGTTACTATTGATGGCATTCTGCTGACAAAATCGGGTACAATGACGGGTGGTACTAGCCCTAGTATGGAAGTACGCTCTCATAAATGGGATGACAAGAAAGTTGAAGGTTTGTGCAAATTTTCCTCTAAATGGTTCTTCTTTAGCAATAGCTTCTAATGCTTTCCTTTTTAGAGCTGAAGAAGAAGAAAGAAGCACTTGAAGCAGATTTGGAGGAACTTGGTTCAATTAGAGAGATGCACCTAAAGGAGTCAGAAGTATCAGGAAAAATTAGTGGGCTTGAAAAGCAGATTCACTATGCAGAAATTGAACAGGTTAATGGAACAAACAAGTATCACATTCTGATTTTCTTGCATCCTCCTTCACGATTTTGCATTTTTGGTGAAGAGAGACATGTTTTTATGTAATGGTGTAAATATTCTTATTGCCAAGTTCAAGGAGTTCACTTTCTTCTTCGGTTCATCCCATATTCCCATTTTTTTCATATACTGTTCTGACAGTCAATTTTACTTTGCATTTTTTTAAGTTTGAAGTTGAACTTTTAAAATTAAAGATTTGATATTATGGTGGAATATGGAATGTATTTCTATTTAAGAGACCCAACTTTGATTTGTTGCAAAATCTGTTTTAAAAGTTGTTAGGATAAGATAATATTGACATGGAAATAATATTGGGATCAGCAACCTTTTTGGGACGAGGGGATTAGTAGGAACGATTTTGGGGTTATTGATTTATTTGACTAGCATTATCGCTGTGAAATTGTTATTTATATTAGTGAGAAATGTATTGCATTTAGCTTGGGCCAGTCAATCTGATCTTTATTGATATGTTCATTTTTGTGTTGCACACAAGATTGAAGATTGAATTTTATATAACTTCATGCATTTTACTTCAGATTTGGTGATAATTAAAGCAGTTGCAAGTCATAATAAATGGGTTTTTTTCTGCATACAATTGCTGTTTGTTTTCAATATGTTTGTTCTTTAATCTATTTTTCCGCATATGTTACAAATTTTCTAAGTTAATTTACACATTGTTGCAGAAAAGTATTGCTGATAAACTTACAAACTTGAATCGTGAAAGGGAGACCATTGAAAATGAGATTAATCGCCTGAAGCCTGAACTTAAGAAGGTGCTCATGCTCTTCCTTTTATCCTTTGTCTGTTTAGGAGCAGGATCTGGTGGCACTTTTATAGCAAAACTAACTTTTTGGTTTCTGCAGTTGGAAAGTGTCATTGGTGAAAGGGCTTCTGAGATCCTTTCTCGAGAGAAGAGAATCAATGACATTGTTGATCATATCTATAAAAGATTCAGTGAGTCTGTTGGCGTAAAGAATATTCGTGAGTATGAGGAGCACCAACTCAAGGCTGTAGAACAGATGGCCGAGGAAAGGCTTAGACTGCACAATCAATTATCGAAGATTAAATCTCAGTATGTTTTTATGGGTTTATATGTTAGGGTGATTCTAGCCTTATTCTGTTTGTGGTTTCCCTTTATGATTTAGTTGATTTATGTACTTCCTAATTAGTATTACTCATAAAATATCAGCGAGGAGAAACGCAATTGCTTTCATAATCTGTCCAGGAAGCTTTTAAATTCTCTTCTATAGGGACATGGTGTACGCATCAATCCAAGGATAAACCATCAATATCATTCATTATTTTTCTTATGAAAAATGCTTGGTGTACACATTTTGGTGTACACCTTTTGTACACTCGTCTGTCCCACGCACACAGAAATGCTTGGTGTACACATTTTGGTGGACAGATAATTCTGTGTGCGTGAGACAGACGAGTGTACAAAAGGTGTACACCAAAATGTGTACACCTAGCACAGCTCTTTTCTTATTGTAATTTTTGTCACTATTATTATTATTGTTATTGTTAGTATTGTTAATACTAATATAGTACTACTACAACTATTATTATTACTATTACAGTATTATTATTTTTGTTACTATTATTACTATTACTCTGTATTATCCTGCGTCCTCTATCATCACTCTTTGATTTGCATCTCAATTTTGTCCCCGTTGAGCCCTCCAAGTGGTCCCCAGCCTCACCCTTCTCCTTCCACCCTCGTCGCACCCTTCTCATCCCAGAGCTCCTTTCATGGAAAAATCTTCTCTCGCGGAGACAAGCCAAATGAGTTGATGAGAGGGTTTGTTTGGCGGTAGGGAAGTGAAATAGGGAAGCAAGGATAGGGGTACGGGGATGGAGCTGACCAAGCCGGTGAAGAATTGAGAATAAAGGCGTGGGCGGTTAACAGTGGGTTTAACGGAATTGTAACTGGGTGGCTAAATATGGTCCAAATAAGTTGATCATGTGTTAATTTGGTCTACTTAAAAGTTTAATGTCTAATACGAACTTTGTAAATAACCTTAGTGTAATTTTTTAGTCTTCTCCCTTTATTTAGTCTCTATTTATGTTGCAATTGGTGTTTGTCATTGGTATTTTTTGCTATGCACTATCACGTGGAAATGGGGGTTGGGGGCCTGTGGGTATTGACTTGAATTATCATGTCTAACACCCTTGGATAGTTTGTGGCTTTGAGTCTGGATAGTTTGTTACTTGAATGCAATACATATTGATAATTTTTACTGGCAAGGTTGGAGTATGAGCAGAAGAGGGACATGGATTCAAAGATTAAAAAGTTGGGAACAACACTTTCCAAGTTGAAGAATGATTTGTCAGTTGTCGAGGAGAGTGAGAAGGAACTGACATCGAAAATTGAGATGATTGACCAGGAAATTAAGCATTATGACGAAGTAGTGATGGGTATGCGATTCAACCACCACATAAGTGTTGCTCCAAATAGGGTTTGTGTAGTTTTTGGTTTTGATGTCTTTCATAAAAAAATGAAAATGTGACAATATAAGTATTGACATTGAAATGTATAATATGAAGTAATGGAAATAGTTGTGGTTCTGATGCGTTCATGGATAGAAATAGAAAGGATTCATGTTAAAATAAACCCTAAAGGTCATTCGTATTGCAGTTTGTATTTTGATACCGGTATGAGTTTGTACCTGAAACTACCTGAAACTATTAATCGATTATATTATGAAACTACCTGAAACTTTAAAAATACTACTACTTCTGTCCCATTTTATGTGTCTTCTTTTGGTTTGGCACAATTATTTATTAAGTGAAATGCTGTGGACTGCATATTTCTTTCCAAAAAGGAAATGTGACATTTATTTTGGGACAACCCAAAATTTAAGTAAGACAGTTAAAATGGGACAAAGGGAGTATTTGCCTTAACTGAAGTAGAATGTTACAAAGAAAGCAGGACATGGATTATCAATGACAATTCATGTTTATCTAGTATCCGTATACTTGTGAAATTCGACTTTTCTCCATATTAGTAATTTTTCTAGATTGTCTTCGGTTTGAGAATACAACTGAGGTTAATAGATTCAAGCGAGGAATTTAAAACCTTTTTTATTCTATCAATCTTCTAAACTGTTGTCATTGTTCTATTCTACTAGTCTTGATCAAAAGTCTTAAAATTATTTTATTGGACAGAGTGGAAATCCAAAGCAGAGGAGTGTGAAAAGGACATAGAGGTATGGAAGAAAGAGATATCCACTGCAACGACAAACGTTAGCAAACTTAGCCGTCAAATAAAATCGAAGGTTGGTGTTATTAATGTCTGTCTTGTGGTTTTTTCTTGCACAAACAACTAACAAGATATATTGATGATTGTATAATTATAAATTTCTAGCTTGGGGCTACAAGAGTAAAAAAGCAGTAGTCACACACCATTAATGCATCTTAATGAGGGTTGGTTTACAGGAGGCACAGATTGAACAGTTAAATTCAAAGAAACAAGAGATTTTGAAGAAGTGTGAATTAGATGATATTAGCATTCCTACTATCTCTGATCCCATGGATACGGAGGAGCAAACTCCTGGCCATGTTTTTGATTTCAGTAGACTGAGCAGAGCTTGTCAGCAGATTACTCAACCATCTGACAGAGAGAAACTTGAAGCAGATTTTTCACAGAAAATTTCTACACTTGCGTCAGATATTGAAAAATCTACTCCGAATCTGAAAGCGTTTGATCAATATGAGGCTCTGCGGCAGAAAGAAGATGCTGTTACTAAAGAATTTGAAGAAGCGAAAAATGAAGAGAAGAAAGTGACTGACGAGTTCAATAGAATTAAGAAGACAAGGTATTATTATGTGTTCACGGATTTCTTAAAAAAATCCCCCTTTTCATTCAAAGGTAGCTATATTTATCAATCCTGGTAGAACTTCCCTTCTGTGGCAAGTGTAGCATGCATCTATTTGACTGGTATAAAGATGGTCTAATTGGGAACCAATGAAGTGTGGAAACATTAAAGGCTTAGGGCGTCTCCATTTCAGTAACGTGCGTACGTTTCGGAACGCCAAAAATTCAGGAAACTTGTATCGGGGGCGTTTCTGTAAATTTAAAAAAATAAAGGAACACGTTTCCACCAAAAAGAAGAGTTTCAGAAACATTAGAACTCTCAGGAAACAAAATTTAGGAAACTTTTTTTGATTTCAAACTTTGAAGCATTCCGAAAGATATCACTATTCAAACCTCTTAAACGGAGACTGAGAGAAGCCCTGTTCAGCAGTTCTTCTTGTCTTCTAATTTCCGTCACTAGCGACTCCTTCTGGCAGTTGTCACTGCCTATTATCTACTCTTTTTAGTTTTCTAATTGTCTATATTTGTATATAGTGTTTTCCTCTGTTGCTATGTTGGAATTAATGGTGAACTGGTGATATGAATTGAATTGCTAATAAACCGACTTGGTGTTAGAGACCTCCAGAACAATTACAGAAAGATTAAGAAGAAACAGATGAATACTTTTATTGAATCAAGAAGAACAGTACAGTAACCAGGCCGAAGCCCCCAAAGATAAGAGAAAAACCGACTTTCTCAGATCTTCCCAGTTCCCAGAGACTAAACAGTCCAAAGGCTCCTTTCTAACTCCCTTACACGTCTATTTATACTAGGGTACTCAGACCCTTATTACAATTATACCCTTATTATTATTCTTATTTCTATTCATAGTCTGATAGGTAGGTTCCTATCAATACTCCCTCCCTAAACATCCACCTTGCCCTCAAGGTGGACGGAAGGAGACAGCCAAGATCTTTTGCTCCTTCTTCCTCTTTGCGCCTCTTCCTTCCCAATATCTCTCTGATTTTTGAACCAGGAGTCTCTGTACTTCATCCCCCCACCTCACCAATGTTTCTGCAGCCAAGGATAAGTTTAGTGAAATCTCCGTCCCTTCAGTGGCTTTAAAGCACTCAATAACGACAAATGTCTCTTTGTGCTGTGCTTCTCCATGTGCAGCAGTTATATGTCTTGATAGGGATGCAACCCGTCCTTCTAGCAGATTCCACCCGAGTGATTCATCATTACAGATGCTAAGTTTTCTCAATAGTCTCCTAGATATGCACCCTCCCATCACACATGGATATGCACTCTCCACCACTTTGAATCCAGGATCCCATACATTGGCAGTTTCTTCAAGTAATCTCCTTGAAATTGTAGCCTCTGAATCTCCCGCTGCCACCCTTTCCAAATCAGCTTGAAGCAGGAGAGCTTTCAACTCATCATTTCTTGACCATTTCAACTTCTGAAACAAGCTACCTTCCTTCCTAGCTATCAACAACTCCTACCCTGATCTTGCAGTTTCTTCCAACTGCTCTAGACTGGTCAACTGTCCTTCCTGATACAACAGGTACCCTTCACTTTTTTGTTGTAACTTGTGAGTAAGAGTTTTGAGTTCCACTTCTATCTGACTCAATGTTGTATTTCCCTTAAAGATACAGTTCTTCTCTTGTTGTTTCCACTTTAAGATTTGCTCCTTAAAGTTAACCTCCATATCTCCCAATCCAGCCAACCAGTCCATTGCCAACACTACATCAGTGCCTCCTAACTCCAATAGATAATAAGTCTGATGAATATCTATTCCCTGAACCTTCAGCTTAACCTCAGTGCATCTGCCAGTATTAGGAATGCAATTACCGTTCCCAATTTGAACCTTGAATCCCTGTACAGGTTGAAAGGGTATGTTATAGTCCTCCACTAATTTCTGTGATAAGAAATTATGTGAGGCTCCAGTGTGCCACTAATTTTACCAGAAATGATAAACTCAGGAACTAAGTAAAATCAGGAACTAAGAACTGGGAATGCTGGAAAGCTTGAGCTGCCCTGCTCAGCAGTTTATTTACACTTATATAGGCAACATGTGAATATATGTACAAGGAAACAAATCAGGGGATTCTTACAATTAATGCAAGATATCCCTGCACTCAAAGCCAAATAAAATCTTCCTATAATTACAAAGATTCAATAAGATACAAAGATATTTTTCTACTGATTCTCTGATTGACATCCCCCCTCAAATTGATGCTGGTTGATCAACAAGCATCAATTTGCCACCAAGGAACTGATGCCGCTGACGAGGAAGAGCCTTCGTGAAGATATCAGCCACTTGAAGATTTGTGGATACATGGGGCAAGGAAATTACTTGATATTCAAATGCTTCTCGAATAAAATGACAGTCTACTTCAATGTGTTTCGTGCGCTCGTGATAAACTGGATTGGCAGTAATGTGAATAGCACTAGTGTTATCAACATGCAATGGAGTAGGCCCGGTGGGTGAAAACCCAAGCTCTGCTAGTAAACCTCGTAGCCATATGATCTCTGAACAAGCAAGAGACATAGCACGATATTCTGACTCCGTAGATGATTTAGAAACTCGATCCTGCTTCTTGCTTTTCCAGGAAACGAGAGCAGTTCCTACAAACATACACCATCCCGTGGTGGAGCGACGAGTGTCTACACAGCCAGCCCAATCAGCATCACTATAGCCAGATAGTTCAAGAGAAACACCATTTGGAAAATAAAGTCCCTTGGTAATGGTTCCTAGAACATAACGAATAATACGTCGAACTGCAGCCATATGGAGATGACGGGGATTCTGAAGAAATTGACTAACCTGCTGAACAGAAAACGAGAGATCTGGACGAGTAATCGTAAGATATACTAAGCTGCCCACAAGCCTACGATATACTGTTGGGTCCGGAAGAAGATCTCCTTCATCTTTTCGAAGTTTAACATTTAGCTCCATAGGAGTATCAACTGGAGAAGTGCCACTAAGACCTGCAGATTCAATGATATCCCGAGCATACTTGGCTTGATTTAAAAAAATACCAGTTGAACCCACAGTAACCTCTAGCCCCAGAAAGTATGAAAGTCCTCCAAGATCCTTCATATGAAAAGAACTATGCAAATGTTGTTTGAGCTGAGAAATAATTGAGTGATCAGTTCCAGTGATAACAATATCATCTACATAGACGAGAAGCACTACAATCCCGTCAGAAGTATGTCGGAGAAACATGGATGTATCATGCTTACTTGGCTGAAATGAGAACTGCTGAAGTGTAGCACGAAACTTTTCATACCAAGCACGAGGCGACTGTTTTAGTCCATACAAAGAACGGCGTAACTTACAAACCTTTGTGGTGGGACTAGAGAAAAGACCAGGAGGTGCACGCATAAAGATATCTTCTTTGAGATCACCGTGAAGGAATGCATTTTTTACATCCATTTGACATAGAGACCATCCCTGGGAGGCAGCAATAGCAAGAACAGTCCGGATTGTGGTCATTTTTGCTACAGGAGCAAAAGTTTCCTCATAATTGACTCCATATTCTTGATGATTACCGAGTGCCACCAAACGTGCTTTATAACGATCAATACTGCCATCAGATCTAACTTTGACCGAATACACCCACTTGCATCCAAGAGGAGTGATATTAAGAGGACAGGATACAACATCCCATGTCTGATTAATTTCCAGAGCCCGCAATTCTTCCTGCATTGCCTCTTGCCAACATTTATGTTTGGCAGCCTGTGAATAACATGAGGGAATAACAACAGATGCTACTGTAGCAGCAAGAGCATGAGAAGAGGATGAAAATCCATACCGATCTGGTGGTACTGAACATCGTGTAGAGCGACGAAGAGGAATCTCCACAGTGTTCGTATCCTCAAGAGGAAGCTCTGGCACAGGATCTGATGGCAGGGAAGGAGGTGGCAAAGAGTCTGGCGGACGGCGTCTAGCATATACTATTCCTTTGAACCTGGAGCTAGGAGGACTAGAGACACTTTCAAACGTAGGTAATATGACAGAAGATGAGTTATTAGTAAAATAAGTATGATAGAAATACTGATTTTCAAAGAATATAACATTCCTGGAGACTCGCAACTTGTTTTCTTGCGGATCAAAACACATGAATCCCTTTTGACTAATGCTATATCCTAGAAACACACAACGAGCAGACTGGGCAGAAAGTTTATGACGTTCTGTGGGCGGAAGATGAACAAAACACACACAACCAAAAGGGTGAAGATTAGTGTACACTGGATGACGTTTATGGAGCCGGAAATAAGGTGATTCAAACTCCAAGACCTGTGATGGAAGTCGGTTTATTAGGTAAACTGCTGTAGACAAAGCTTCAACCCAAAATCGAGTAGGAACTTTGGATTCTATAAGTAAGGTCCGAACGATATCAAGAAGATGACGATTTTTTCGTTCCGCAACACCATTTTGTTGAGGAGTATAAGGACATGATCGTTGAGATAGGATTCCCTTAGATTCAAGAAATGTTTGAAATTCATGAGACATATACTCCCCACCAGAATCAGTACGAAGAACTTTGATACTTGTTGAAAATTGAGTTTCTACCAAGGCAAGAAAGTTTTGAAATGTTCTGAAAACATCAGCCTTCGATCGAAGAAAATATATCCAAGTGTAACGACTATAATCGTCAATAAAGGTAACAAAGTATTTGTGATGAGAATGAGACACAACAGGAGAAATGCCCCAAACATCACTATGAATGAGCTCAAGACAATGGGAAGCACGACTACCATTAGATGGAAAAGTAAGAACTTTGCTTTTGCCTAGTTTACATGATTCACAATCAAAATGAGAAAACATATTCTCTTTATTACCCAAAAGACCAAGACGTAACAAATGAGAAAGAACTCGAGGATTCGGGTGGCCAAGTCTCCTATGCCACACCGATCCTGAATTTTTATTACATGCAAAAGCAGAAACTGAGTTATATCTAGGAAAGTATAAAGGAAAAAGACGTCCAATCCTAGGCCCCTTCGCTATCAGCTCCCCTGACACTTGATCCTGCACAAGACAACCATCACAAGAGAATTTCACGTCACATCTATCATCAAGAAGTTGTCCAACAGAGGTAAGACTTGTAGATAATTTGGGACAAACAAATACATCTTTAACCCGATGAGAAATATCACCAATTGCGGTAATAGGCAGCTTATTACCATTGGCAGTTTCAATAGATAAAGAACCATCATATTTGCGAATATTATTGAGTCCATGTACTGAATGTGTCACATGATTGGAGGCTCCAGAATCTAGAAACCAATTAGAATAGGGTAAAGAGTTACCTTGAATTCCCAATGCTGAGAAAGCAAAAATTATGATCTGTTGTACCATTTCAGGTGTAATAGAAGTGGCAGAAGTAGAGACGGGAGTATTTGACACGTTTGGAGAAGTGACCACAGCTTCTGTGGTAGCCTGATATGCGGTATTTTTCCTGCGGGGTGGACGAATAGAGCAATCTTTGATGATATGTCCCAGCTTCTTGCAATAACTGCATACCTTATTAGGGCAATGCTGCGCAATGTGACCGTAATTCTTGCAAGAATAACACTGTGTGGCACTCATATCTCTAGGATGAGGTTTAGCTTGAGTGACATAAGCAACAGGAGTGTGACCTTGTTCCAAGGTAGCCTGGGTAAGTAGACGCTGCTCTTCACGAAGTAGTTCCCGAAGGCAAACTTCCAGAGACGGAACTGGATTCCTATTCATTAAAGAGGAGCGAGTGTTCTCAAACTCGGAGCGCAGTTTCATCAAGAACTGCCTGCGCTGCCGTGCTTGTAACATATCCCGAAGAGGCTCAACAGCAGTTTCAGGGACGTCAACGAGACATAAGTCGATATATTCAGTCCAAAGCTCTAAAAGACTGGAATAGTATTGCTGAACAGTTAAGGAACCTTGTTGGAAGTTAGAAATATCCAACTCCAACTGAAATTGATGGGCTGCATTATCCTGATGATAAACTTGTCGTAGATAAGCCCACATGGCTTTAGCTGTGCGATGGGGGCGTAGGTTAAGAATAATATGGGGATCGAGTGACCCTAATATCCAACTGCGAATTTGAGCATCTTTCACCTCCCAGGTTGCATCCCGAGTGGCAGAATTCTGTGTGGAAGAGTCATCCACGTGAGCCCACAAATCCTTTCCTTTCAGAAAGGTTTCAAATTGAAACGCCCAAGTAACATAGTTCTTGCCATCAAATCGAACACACAAGTTTTCTAATTTATCCATGATAACAAGAGAACAGAATAAATCTGAGAAGGAAATGTGTTGATCTGAGATAGAAGATGGCTGGAACTAAGTGCTGAGATGACAGAATCTGAGAGGAAACCCTAGGGTTTGTGTTTAAAAAAAAAAATCTGCGACGTCGACCAAGAACTCCAAGAACAGACCCTACTGAATTTTAGGGTTTGCTGAAAAAAATGCTTATGGCTCTGATACCATGTCACTAATTTTACCAGAAATGATAAACTCAGGAACTAAGTAAAATCAGGAACTAAGAACTGGGAATGCTGGAAAGCTTGAGCTGCCCTGCTCAGCAGTTTATTTACACTTATATAGGCAACATGTGAATATATGTACAAGGAAACAAATCAGGGGATTCTTACAATTAATGCAAGATATCCCTGCACTCAAAGCCAAATAAAATCTTCCTATAATTACAAAGATTCAATAAGATACAAAGATATTTTTCTACTGATTCTCTGATTGACACAGTGTCTATGAGAATATTCACCATCTTCTCTCCTCCAGACCAGTTCAATTTCCCTTTAACCTTAAAAGTTTTGATGGAAGATATACCTTCCTTACTGAGAATGGAAAGTTGCATTGCCTTATGTTCCATGTACCCCGTTTTTTCTCCTTCAGAATTACCAGATCCTTCCTCAGAATTTTCCTCTTCTTCTGATTGTTCAACAAGTACCATTTGGTAGTTCTTTAGCTTACAACGGTGGTCTCTTCCCCATTTATCTCCACACTTGAAGCACAATCCTTTTTCACTCCTCTCCATGAGCTCTTCTTGAGATAATCTGGGACCTAGATTCCTCTTATTTTGTTCAATTCCTTCTCTGTTATTGTTACTGTCTTCATTCTTTTTGGTCACCAACACTGAAGGGGCCTTGTAAGATTTCCAGCTCCTATCATCTCCCCAATTATGAGTTTTATTCTGAGATTTCTTTCTTCCTTCTTCCTTATTTCCTACAATAAGAGTCTCCAGGTTCTTATTGTCAATTAGTGTGGCTGTATTCATAACTGCTGCCAAGGTTTTTGTAGAATATAATTTCAGTTCAGCTCGGATGTCCCTTCTTAACCCCTTTCTGAAAATTCCCTTAAGGACTTCTTCAGTGAGGTGTTTTTGGAAACCTATGGCGGTTTCGAACTGATCTCTGTACTCTTGCACAGTTCCCTTCTGCTTTAAACTTAGGAGAGGTCCTAACGGATCCTGAACCATATCCGGTTGAAAGCGCTGAGCCAAGGCTTTTGTGAATGTAGTCCAATTCTGTCGTTGACCTTGCCCTTCCCACCATTGAAACCAACTTAGCGATTGGTCCTCCATAGCCACCACTGCAACATCCATTTTATCTTCCTCATCAATTCGATTCAACCGAAAGTATCGGTTCATCCGCACAAGCCAACCGAACACGTCTTTGCCATTGAAAAGAGGAAGATCGATTTTCCTCCCGACCGGATGATGTTTCCTGCGATTCCGGTGTGAATCGTTATCGCTATTGGCATCAGAATGTTCGGATTGAGAATCCGACTCACTCAAACTGTCGCCTTTCTTCTTGTGTCTGTAATGCGAACTGTGGTGAGAAGATGTCGATCGATGCGATCTACTCCGCGATCTCTCCGTTTTCCGATTCTTCAACTCATCGATACCAGCTTGCATCCTCATTAATAGTTCTTCATATCTCGCATTTGATTCATCGATCTTTTTCTCGATCGCAGACACTCGTTCGTCCATTTTTCTTCTCGTGCCTACCATTCACAGGACCGAAATGCTCTGATACCAATGTTAGAGACCTCCAGAACAATTACAGAAAGATTAAGAAGAAACAGATGAATACTTTTATTGAATCAAGAAGAACAGTACAGTAACCAGGCCGAAGCCCCCAAAGATAAGAGCAACCGACTTTCTCAGATCTTCCCAGTTCCCAGAGACTAAACAGTCCAAAGCCTCCTTTCTAACTCCCTTACACGTCTATTTATACTAGGGTACTCAGACCCTTATTACAATTATACCCTTATTATTATTCTTATTTCTATTCATAGTCTGATAGGTAGGTTCCTATCACTTGGAGAAAGGAAGAATGGGGGAATATACATTTAAAGGAAGAATGGTAATAAACCGAATTAGTGGCTTCTGTGCCTCTACTGCCTGACAGCCTAAGTGGATGACACAATGCATTTATTGTTTTACCATAATTATTAATTACTTAACTGTTAATTCTTTATGTGATGTGAGGTGCGTACAATAATACACACATTGTTTACTTTTAATTTCAATTTTTTTTTATGAATCCAGGAATCAATTTGTTAAATACTAAACGTGTCTAAGAATTGTCATTTTTAAACTTTTTAAGAATTAATCTTGAATTCATCCTTTGAATTACAGTATATTGGTTTAATGTTAAGTGTTAATTCATTTATATTTCATTTAGTTAGTTATTCACTAATATATGAGAAGTTTGTATTTTTAGATATGATACATTATTATTCAATTTTGTTTTGCACTAATATTTGAGAAGTTTATGTTTTTTAGATATGTTACACTATTATTTGAAAATTTTATATATATGATTATTTATTGAAAAACCTATATCTTTTATATTCGACGCATTTCCCCACGTTTCGTGTGCTACTTTTTTTGAAAATGCTGTTTCTTGTGTTTCCTGTTTCCCATTTTGCGTTTCTGTGATACAAAGTTGGGAACCCTTAAAAGGCCTAAGATTTTCAATTTGAAGAAGAATACATGGCACCACCAATCTAGCAGTGTATCGATGTGTCCCACATATATTGGGATTACAGTGTTCTTCAATTCCAAAAATTTGCAGATGCTTAAGAATTAAGAAACTTGTGAATATTACCTAGTACTGTGTACTTTTGGAGTTCAGTGTTTCTGTTATTGTATTTCAATTTGTTCGGATAATGTCAACATTAAGTCTTTGTTCTGTTTTTCAGGTATGAATTGTTTATGAAGGCTTTCGATCATATATCTGGAAATATAGACAAAATTTATAAACAACTCACCAGGAGCAATACACACCCCCTTGGTGGAACGGCATATCTCAACTTGGATAACGAGGATGACCCATACTTGCATGGTATCAAGTACACTGCAATGCCACCAACAAAGCGCTACCGTGAAATGGAGCATCTATCTGGTGGAGAGAAAACTGTTGCAGCACTTGCATTGCTCTTTGCTATCCACAGGTTTGAATTGCTTTTCTCTACCAACATGGAGGATTCTATTCTGTTGTGAAAGAATATGTGCGCCAAATGTGGTAGTTTTTCAGCCAATATGAACATTCGTTTGCTTGGTTTTATTGTTTACTAAAGATGTTTTTTAGCTGGACTGATTTCAGTATCAAACCATACATAGGTAATATACATATAACAGACATTTACAGGACCGGACCAGATTTAGGTAATCCACATATAACAGACGTTTACCGGATCGGACCAGAAAATTTTAGTGCAATTAAAAGCATCCTACTATCATTTTCCCCTTTTATGTTCAAATTTTCTGTTGTCAAACATTTAATGTGACTAAGGTAATCAATATCGCATTAGGTGATCGCGTGATGCATGATAGGAACCAGGCAGGTAATCGGAAACTTATGTATATTAAGAAGGGACTTGATTAAACTGAAAAGGAAAGAGTATGCCTGCCTGTCAGAGAGTGCCTCTCTCTCCCAGATCAAATCCCAACTGAAATCCAGCCTACCTTTCATTCTTCACTTAGCTCATATTTATACTACATAATACATATGCCTAGCCTGAGGTTGCCACCTCATCACTTTATTTACATTCACCTTACTTCTTCTATTGTACCTTTATACTACTTTTTAATATCAATCATCAATCAATCATCATTTACCCCAGTGCTGCAAAGGCTCCCACCTACAGTGGGGTAAGGGGGGGTCCGATGTACGCAGTCTTACCCCTGTACTAAAGCACAGAGAGACTGTTTCCGGATGACCCATAATGAAAACCGCGTCCAAAATTGCATGGACTGACTGCTGCTTCATAACAAAGAAGAGCAGACAGTTTGGTGAGCCATTTTTCTTTATTCCATCATATTCTCAAGCCAAAGAATAATGAATCTTTGGCTCCATTGCAAATGATGGAAACTTTATACTACTTTTTAATATTATTATTAATAGTATTATTAATGTCTGGGTCCCCATCATCATTCCCCCCTTTGACTACCACCTTGTCCTCAAGGTGGATTGTAAGAAACTGTTCTGGCATTTGGTTTCATCGCGGTTTCTGCTACATCCAGTTCAGATTGCTGTTCACCTGGTCCTTTCTCCTCTTCTAACTTTTCCATAAGGACAATTTGATAATGTTTCATTCCGCAAACATGTTCCTTACTCCTTTATCTCCACATTTGAAGCAAAGACCCTTCCTACTTCTCTCCTGTAGTTCAGCATGGAACAGCCTCTGTCCTTCTCCAATGTGATTTGAACCTGGTAAGTTCTCTGTCTTAGCTTCAGTGGTAGTTTTCTCAGCCTGAATGTCGTTACCAGGGTTGGTCCTCCACTTGGTTCCTTCTATCCAGTTCTGAGGTCTGGACATCAATCCTCCCTTCTCCTTCCATCCACGCTTATCCTCCTCCATGTGATGCCCAGTTTTCAGAGCATTGTTTTTCTCTTCCAGTAATAATGCTCTATCCATTAGCTCAGATAAGGCACCTGAGTGATAGAGCTTCAGTTGAATCAGTTCAGCACGTGCCCACTCTATGCCATTGATGAAAACTCCTTTCAGCATCTCGCTGTCGGTGTTTCTTATTGGTGCTACCACCAATTCAAACTGCTCCCTATATTCCATGACACTTCCATTCTGTTGGATACTCAGCATGGGACCAAAAGAGCTCTACACTAACTCTGGCTGAAAATGACGGATCAAGGCCGCCTTAAAATGTTCCCAACTGCGATAATTGGTTTGCCCTTCCCCTCATTGAAACCAGTTTAGAACCTTGTCTTCCATGGCGATCACCACCATCTGCACCTTCTCCTCCTCAGTTACATGATTGAGTCTGAAAATCATTCCAGCCTGACGATCTATCCATAAACATCCTGGCCATTGAATAGTGTCACATCTATCTTCCTCCCGGCTCGACTATGTCCTTGGTTCATGGACACCTCACGTTGGTTGGATGTCGCCTGCGAACCGAGGGATTCTCCTCTCGATTGTGTCATACTTTGACTCTCAAAGGGAGATCACTACCTAGAGGTCTTGGATAGTACCCTGGAACGCTGGCGATTCTGGTCGATCAGCAGGTTACACAGCTCATCCATCATCACTTGCGACTCAGCCTCTGGACCGAGATGCTCTGATACCAATGATTGGAACCAGGCAGGTAATCAGAAATTTGTGTATATTAAGAAGGAAATTGATTAAACTGATTAACTGAAAAGGAAAAGAGTACATGTGAGGCAATTTCGAGAGTGCCTCTCTCCCCCAGATCCAATCCCAACTGAATTCCAGCCTACCCATTCATTCTTCACTCAGCTCATTATTTATACTACGTATGCCTAGCCTGAGGTTGTCGCCTCATCACTTTATTTACATTCCCCTTACTTCTTCTATTGTACCTTTATACTGCTCTTTAGTTTTATTATTAATAGTATTATTACTGTCTGGGTCCCTATCAGTGCAAGTGTGAGGCACACTGATTTGGGCCAGACAAGGCACACTATGCACATGCTTTTTCCATGAGGTGCAAGGTGAATACTTTTTGTGCCTTGCCTTGTTTTTTCACATCATCTATGTTTGCCTCTTCTATTATGGACTTTGGCCTAATTTTTTAAAAATCCCATACCCATAATAAAACCCATCAAATAAATACTACCGGTTTTTAATTGGTTGTTTATTGCATAACTATGGCTGGAATCCCAGCATCCACCTGCAGAAAGCGCGTTAGGCAGTATTGAACAACAACTCTTAGTCCTAATTGGAGATGGTTTTTATTTTTATTTTTCATTGTTGCCTTTTTTCCCTCTTCCTGGCTTCCTATGATCCATCTTTTTTGTTCTGCTCCAGTTCCTGGTATATATAGCAGCTTTAATTTGTTTTCTTGCTCCTGTTATTGGCAACCATGGAGTGAAAGTACATCATTAATCATCAAATGGTGCTGTATTCATGTCATTGTTGGTGCATATGGATTAATTTCATATTGAATATCATGTCATTATATTTTATGAGTATTGATTAATAAACATCATGTTTTCATTTTTCATTCTGTGTCTGTTTTTCATTCTTTCATTTTTTGTCCCTTATGTGCACTTTACAAATTTGACAAACCTTGAATCTGACATATATGCCCTTGATATGTGACCATCGTCAAAAGTACACACGCAAGTGTGTTTGTATGCATGCATGTATATACAACAACATTACCTCAGTGCCGCAAAGGCTCCCACCTACGCTGGAGTAAGGGGAGTTGGATGTATGCAACCTTGTTCTTAGTAACCCATAATGAAAATTGTGTTGAAAATTGCATAACAAAGAAGTGCAATAGTTCAGTGAGCCATTTTGCTTTATTCCATATTTCCCATCATATTCCCAAGCTAAGAAATCAAAACTGTACTTTAATGTTCTTGTGTGTTGCCATTTGCAGTTTTAGGCCTTCGCCATTCTTCATATTGGATGAAGTGGATGCTGCGTTGGATAATTTAAATGTTGCCAAGGTGGCGAGATTCATTAGGTCAAAATCATGTGGAAGCGCCCGACTTAACACGGACTCTAATGAAGGGTATGGCTTTCAGAGTATTGTCATATCGCTTAAAGATAGCTTTTATGACAAGGCTGAAGCATTGGTGGGTGTTTACAGAGATGGTGATAGAAGGTAAAAAATGTTCTCCCTTGATTACTAGTCCACCGTTCCATTCTTTAAGTGAATTAATTCCCAGTTTCCTCCCTTTTTTCTCACTTCCAGTTGCTCAAGGACGCTGACATTTGATATGACAAAGTACCGGGAATATTAAGGCTGCTTTTTTTTGCTCAACAATGAATCGTTGATGTATATACATTAGATCAGCTTATTTGTCAGTAGCAAACAGAGAAATAGGAACAGATATGGATGGGTTAGTCTCAATGTTGCTAATATTTATCTGTTGTGCTAAATTAAGTTTGTGATGTATAATTATCTTATATTTACTACTTGCGCTTAGTATGATTGTTAACTGCTCAAGTTTCTATGATATTCGTCCATCTCAACAGCAAAGATATTAAATAAGTCCCTTGTGACATTGGAACTGGTCTTGAAGACAAAAGAATAAAACTTTAGGTCATTCCGTTTAAGTGTGTAACCTCTTGTACTCTACTCTACTCGAAAAGCAATTGAAACATTACTTTCTCAAGTCTCAAACGTGTGGCTAAATGCCTAAATTATGATACTGTGATCTCGATTATAACGTTGGTCCTAATTCCCAGATAATGTGGTTATCCTTGTCATTGGTTGCTTCAGACGGGTAATTTCAATCATTTTGTAAGTCTGAGAAATAAAACAGTTTCAATTTCAACTTTCAAGTATAACTTGGTGAAATATGAAATATGAAAACATGCAAATATTTTGATGATTAAATTAATGGTAAAACTGCACAGCAACCGGCTGATAACGAGCATGATTCTGGTATGCAAAATTGAGGTCCTTTCTTATTAATTTTGATGATAACGTTACAAAATAATCAATAATTACGTTGGCTTTGATTTCGTTATATCATTATATTATAAAGAGAGATGTGTGTGCAACCTTTATGAAAGTGTATTGGTTTTTTCCCAAAAACATAGTGGGATGGGGCCACGAAGGTAGTAATTAGTGCTCCCTCCGTTCTCTAATAGATGAGCTTATAGGGTTTGGCACAAGTTTTAAGGAGAAAATAATAGAGGTAGTGTAAATGGTGTAGTGGGTTGTGTTTGAATGAAAAAGTAGGAAAGAGAATGAAAAAGTAGGAAAAATAATAAGGTTATATAGGTATATTTATTGAAAAAACTTTCTAAAAATGGAAAGGAGGACAAATATTAAAGAACATCCCAAAATACAAAGTGAGACATCTATTGGAGAACGGAGGGAGTATATTTTATTTTACATTCATATTTTTTTTATCCTTGAAATTTATGTTAATTTTTTTATTGATCATCGATGATAACATCTGTTTGACAATGATATAACCCTAATTAGGGGTGGACTTGGTCCGGCGGTCCAACTCGATCTGGAATTGGGTCCAGCACTGGTTTACAGTTTTGGGGACTGAACTGGACGGTTCCGGTTCGATTTTGGTATTGGCCCGCTATTTTTTTAACCTTAGAACTTGGCAAATATTTTAAAAATTAATGGGAACTGGGTCCGATAATGGGATTGGACTGGCCGGGTACTTGGAACTAGCCGAGACCCCGAACTAAGTAAGTCGGACCAGGGTTCAAGGATTTTTTGGGATCGGACGGTCTCGGCCCGGAATGGGGATCAGACTGACCCGAGTCTATCCCTAACCCTAAATGATAGGTTTTCTCAAAAACAAGTTTCCTCTAATTCTTTGTCATGTCATTCAAAAACGTATTTAAAATTTATTTTAAAAATATGAATAATTAGTTTACATTTTAACTCTTATATTAGTCTAAATTTTTATAAAGGACATGTTTAAGAGTTTCTAGTGTATTTACCAGACTTATGCAATAGACAATTTTCTTTCTTAAATAGAGTGGTTTTATAGTGATAGATAGACTAAATATAAATAGCGATGAAAAAAATAGAGATCTAAAACAAATTGTGTCATATTTGCAAGGACAAAAAACATACTTAAGACTCAATTATGTGTACTTATGTTTTTCATACATTAATACAATAATCATTTTAATGTCATAGTTATAAATGTTGGGGCAAACACGACCCCCGATCTCTTCGAGGATCACGAGCTCATATGAATCTTGTACATTCGCGAACCCACTTATAGTACACAGACTCAATCTAATAATATCATTTTATATTATACAATTGAAATGTCCAAAAAATATTTTACAAGTAATGGGTAGCTCACTAGATTCACTCTTTGTACATGTGATTACTTCTGTCTCACTCTCCTCTCTCAAGAGTCAAGGAAGCTTTCACCCATTCAAGAGCTCTACTTAAGGTTCTTCTCTCTCATCACTCAAGGAGGCTTTCACAAGGCTCTCTCATAAGAATGAGGAGTGTCACCCCTATTTATACTAATCTCCTCAAAGTTTTCTAGAACTCTCTATACATCACTATATTTCTACAGTCTTTCAAGAAGTATCCACAAGTTTCTCGAATCTTCTGCAAGGATCTAGATAACTTCACATTTCTTCTCAGTGTTCTAGGGACTTCCACACATTTCCACACGATTCTAGATGATTTCACACTTCTATAGAAAACTCTACCATCCTCTAGAATATTCTACAATACTCTTCCACGCGCTATTTTTTTTTTTTTTTTTTTTATGATGATCGGGTATTTGGTATCCAACATGTTGCTGATTTATTTTACCGGACAAATCTAACCAGGGGTGGGTTGGAAAATTGAAAATCGACCTAACAAAACTCGAATTGCATGTAAAATAAATCAGACCGCAAGCAAAAAAATTGAACTACAAGAAAATCGAAATGAAATTAAAAAAAACCGATCCAAACCGTAGATGTTTAGTTTCTTTTTGGTTTTCACCTCTAAAACCCGAATAGAACAAATCAACCTTTTTAAAATATACGTAGTACTATTTTATGCATTAATTATCAAGTTTAATATTTTGTTTGGTTCTTCATTCTTAATTATAAAAAGTTGATGTTTGATATTAGATTTATTAAGATATTTGTGATACTAATATATTAATGTTAGTGATATTTGATATTAAGGTTTAATAAAGTGAATAACTTGTGTATACACTTTAGTCTCTTGCGATAATACTAATATATTTATATCCATTGAATTGTAATCTACATCTTTACTTGTTCTTACATGACAATTATATCTTTGTTATTATATTATTGTTTTTTTTTTGTTTGTACACGCCTTTTTCTTGTAATGAAGTATGTATTCATCTAAGCTATACGGCCCGTACGTTAGGCAACATATATATTATTAAACTATTTTCAAACAATTAAGTACAAAACATGAAACTGAAGAGTATATGCATCTTTGTCTAAAAAGAAAGGGAATATATTATTTACCAATTTTGATGTTAAATGGGTATATATTTTTAGAGTAAACATAAAACTTTAGAGTATTTAGAGTAAACAAGAAAGGGGAATAAATTATTTACCAATTTTGATGTTAAATCTTTGTCTAAACCTGAAACTTTAGAGTATTTAGAGTATATATTTTTTGATTTTCTAATTTGATGTTTTAATTAAACTGTAAAGTATCCAAATTTATCATACAAATACTCTTTCAAATATGTCGCTAAATCACTTGAATCCATCATATTGGCATGAGCTAATGTACATAATATTTTACTTGAATAATATCGTCATCGAATGTCCGCAACAAGTGAATGCTGATACTGTGGACGATCAACACATGTGTTGTCAGGGGCGGATCCAGGATTGAGAGGTGGGGTGGGCTAAGCAGCAATTTTTTTTACTATACATACAAGGTTTATGTCAGGGCTGTTATCTAATCGAGCTTTTTTGAACTATGGATGTTTTTACTTGGACTGTAATTTGCTGGTCTGGTCTGGTCTGGTCTGATCTGGTCTGGTCTGGTCTGAACTGGTCTGGTCTGGTCTGGTAAGGTCTGGTTTCTTTGTATTTTTATAACTATCCAAGTCTGGTCTGGTCTGGTCTGGTCTGAACTGGTCTGGTCTGGTCTGGACTGGTCTGGTCTGGGACAAATTACAGTCCAAGTAAAAACATCCTATATAGTCGAGTTTGAGCTTAATTTTGCCTCTAATTTATCGTGTGTTAAAGTCGAACATCGAAAATCTATCGAACCAAAATTAAGCTCAATTTTATACTAAGTGAATATTCATTTCACTTTCCTTTCTTGACAAATATGTTCATTATCTATTTTAAAAAACATTTTCAATGTTCATATGAATTAAAAACATTCTATAAAATTATAAAAAATAATAAGTAAAAAACAATCGTTGTACCTAGAAGTAATAAGTATTCACAATTTCAAAATTCAATTGAAAATTTCAATTATTTATTACATGTCCACACAATAAATAAATCATTCTATAATCTTCAACTGTATAATAAATGAATCATTCTCTAAATCTGTAATCCTTAATTCTATCTTTAATCATTATAAATTTACAGTGAATTAAACACTATTTTAATTCATAATGAAAAATTCAATTAATTTTCAAATTGATTCACTAACCCCAAAACCCAAAAAGGCTAAAAATATTACTGAAATAATACACAATAAGTCAATAACAGTGACAAAAAATAATAGAGCTAAAATCTAAAAAGCTCACATGGAGGCTGGAGCTTCGGAGCTGGAGGAAGAGACCTTAGCGGCAGGCTAAAATCTATCAATCATGACGGAGGGCTCTGGATGGCGGAACGCAGCGTGGACGGCGGAGGAAGGCGTGGTGCGGCAGGGTCGCAGCTCATATCACGAGTTCTTGCCTTATTCATCGCAGACTCGCAAGTCGCAGCTCTGTCTTCCTTCTTCTTCGCACTTCCGCCAGTTCGCAGCCTCGCAGGTAAGTTGAATAGGTGGGCTGGGCTGTGGGATGGGCTGGGAGCTAATTTTGGAGTGGGCTAATTATAAAACTTAGACCTATACTAATTAAAAAAATAAAAATTGGGCTTGGCTGAAGCCCACCCCTGCCCTAACTACCATCCGCCTCTGTGTGTTGTTGCTATGAAAATCGTGAAAATGTACTACAAAATTACGAATGTGTCATTGAAAGTTGGGATATACTCCCTCTGTCCCAGAAAATTCTTCCAAGTTTGACTTGGATCGGAGTTTAAGAAAGTGCGAATAAAGTGAAAATGTGTGGTTGTAGTTGTGTAAGAAAAAGGTGAAATGAATGTGAGCCACACAAATAATCAAAAAGGTGAAGTTGGAAGAATTTTCTGGGACGTCCCAAAAAGGAAAGTTGGAAGAATTTTCTGGGACGGAGGGAGTACACACTAGTTGTGGTCGAGTATTGATATTGGTTAGAGATTGGAGATGTGTGATATGAACTGTGATGGCCAACGTGTGATGTAGAAGCTACTAAACCTGAATCCAGTATAGCTTCATTTTGGCCTTAACTACCATTTTGTGGCCGGACCTAATTGTGCACCATTTAAGGCATTTCCCTATTTTTAGGTATCATTTATGATACACTTCTTTGAGTACAATATGAGAACCACAGATTAATTAACTAATTAATTAAAAGAGAAAATGACAAAACTTTTAGGATACAAAAAATGCAAAGATGAAAAAATTACGTAGTATAGAGTATAGGGTACAACGGATGTATTTAAAATGATGGTATGAATAACAATTGACGAATAAAATAGGACAAAAATGTAATGTTACAGAACACGCTTATTTAAAACAATCATGCGTCAAATATTATGCTATTTTTTTTGCAAACATGGGTTTCGTATGGTTGCTGATTTTTATCAAACAACCACATTAACAGGACACTTGGTAAGTGGGCATGAGATTTCCAGCAGGGAAGATGCATGGACCCAACTCCCAAGTCAGTCAGGTCCCAATTGCTGGCCGAGACTAGGGATGGACTCGGGCCGGGCCAACCGGCCCGGAACCGGACCGGCCCGCTACTGTGCGGGCCCGGACCGGCCCGGTCAACCGGTTCGGTTCCGGTTCGGGCCTCCAGGCCCGGTGGTATACCGGTCCGGGCCCGGGCCTCCAGTTTAGTGAACCGGCCCGGTTCGGGCCGGAATTTTTTTTTTTTTTTTTTTTTTTTTTGAAATTTTTTTAAGTTTTGGGTTGGATTAGGTATTTTGGGCCATTTGAGGTGGTTTGGGGTGGTTTGGGGTGGAGGGGGAGGGGGTTAAATAAGAGAAGAAGAAAAAAAAAAAAACATTCCGGGTGGCCCGGCCCGGCCCGGTTCTGGCCCGGAACCGGAACCGCCCACCACCGGTTCGGGCTCGGGCCTCCTTTTTCTGAACCGAGGCCCGGCCGGGCCCAGGCCCGAACCGGGCCCGAACCGGAACCGGTCCACCCCTAGCCGAGACCGCCCATTCCTTGCCAAATTTTTGAGAAGACCAGGTCTGACCGCCCGGCCGGTAGGCTTGTACTCGATGCGGGCCACCCGGCCCGGGAACCGACCCGGTACTGTTTGGGCCCGGCCCGAGAACCGGTTACCGTTCTGGGTCTAGGCCCGATTTGTGGGGGGGTAACCGGGGCGGGCACGGGCTAGGGAAAATGCAAACCGGCCCGGTCGGGCCCAGGTCCAGTTCTTGCCATTTTTTTTTGTTTTTTTTTTAATTTTTTTTCTTTCCCCCAGATTGGGCTGGGTCACCAGGGTGTTTTGTGGGGGTTTGGGGGTGGGGAGGTAAGGGGGGGGGGGTCAGGGGGCAGTTAGGTAAGCAAAAAAAAAATTATAAACAGGCCCGAGCTTGGCCCGGCCCGAACCGGACCCGGACCGGACCCAGTGGATACCCGGGCCGGTTCCGGGCCTAACCCCAAACCCCAAAAGCCCGCCAGGCCTAGGCCCGACCCGGGCCCGGTCCATCACTGGCGCCCGGAATCGGAAAATGGACCCGATCCGGTCCGCCACAGTACCGGAGCCGGTTCCGCGCCAGCTCATTACCAGACACAACCTATCACGCTATCCCCGAAGAGTACAAGAAGGATACAAAAACAACAATATTTGAAGGAAATTTCCCAATCACAAATTAAAAACAATTGCTGCTTGGGAATTAAAGTTACAGACATGTCAATCAAACGACTATTAAGGCTTCTTACACAAATGGGACTCCAGAAGGAACTCTTCTGGCATAATCTACATATTGAGCACCAAAAAACTGCCTCAAGAAATACTCCTCATAAGGTATCCTTTCATAGAAGAAGCGCCAAACAACTACAGCATATGCAACAGTTGAAACTGGATTGCAAAGCATTATCTGGGTACCAACAGACCAAATAAAGAAACCACAATAACTCGGGTGGCGCATATATTTATATAGTCCATGCGTCACGAGTTTATGATGTTCCTCGTGATGCACTTTTATCAAATGAGTAAAGGATCGACCAGCGGTTATAATTGCCAGCTTCCGGATGATCTCACCTAAAACAACCAGGCCCAGGCCCAAATCACTTATCCACCAGTGCTCCTTTGTGGAAGGGAAGAAGTGTGCTTCAAGAAGGTACTCTATGAAGCAGAATGCCATGGCAAATACATAGTTTTTGCTGATCAAAAGTGATTTGACAGTCACACTTGATCTCCCATGAATAGCAACCGCAAGAATATATTCAGAAATATGGAAAAACATTATTGCAATAAACATTTGCAATAATTGTCTGCATGCTGTATAGCCGAACATTTCTGTCATTTTAGGGTAAGTCAAACCAACTGCTACTTTTAGGAACTTGAATCCAGTCTTCTGAGAACGGGAGTTCAGATAAGTTAAATTTCGAACCAAAATTCAGACTTGAAAATGTTACTGAGCGCTTAAAACTAGTAGCATAAACACACCTCATAATCAAAGCAGAAATCTTTTAAGAATGGCATACTCTGCAACATAAAGCAAATCAAATCTTATTACACAAATTGTAAGTTTGTACCAAATTGAAACACGAATGGACACATGCATGTAGATTCATACCAATAGCATAAATAAAAAATTAAAACTAAAACACAATTTTTGTACAACTTAAAAACATACTGCCTACATCTTTTACTCCGTATAACTTTGTCATCTAACCTTTTAGTTGTTCAAGAAATTTTGTCAATTTGCTTTTCAGTCAATTAATTTGTGATTCCTATTATTTCTCTCACTTTTGTACAAACCACACACAATATTTACTTTATCAACCACACAGTATTTACTTTCTTATTCCTCATGCCAGTCAAACTTGGTAACGTTGTAAGGGATGGAGGGAGTACTATAATGTTTAAATACTCAAGGGGGTCGGCAATTAACAAAGAGATACCCCTGATGTTTATAAATATTCTCACTTTTTATCGTCCAAAATGATTTTCAATTTTAAATTAATAAACAAATAAAGGTTAGCCCGGTGCATGAAGGCATCCTGCAAGGCAAGGGTCCTCGGAAGGGCCCCACCACACAAGGGTGTTTGAGGGGCAAGCCTTTCCCTGTCAAACTATTGACAAGAAGAAGCCAATCCTACAAATAAATTTCAAACAAATAAAAAATACATATTTATATTTCAAATATATATTACCTCCGTCCCAAAAAATATTCCATTTTCAAAACTTTGACCAACTCTATCTTTTTATTGGAAATTATTTATAATATAAAAATTATATGAAAATGTTCTTTGTTAAAAGTACTTTAATAAAATATAAAATTTATATCTTGCATAATATTACACTAATCAAAATCATGGTTCAAATTTTTTGAAATGGTAAAGTTTTTTGGGACAGATGTAGTATATAATTGGAATAAATAAAAAGTAAATAAATAGATTTAACTGCAATGGAAAATCGTGATATATTTATAATAAATTGGCAAAAATTAGAAATAAAAAAACAGCCAAATCAGTATGTAATAGATAGAAGTTTTTTTTTTTGAAAGAATAGATAAAAGTTTATAAATCGAAAATTTCAGGGCTAATAGACGATCTTTACAACTTTGTAAAGACATATGCTGACAGTATTTCGTATCTGGAAAGTTGAAGACAGTCCTAGTTTTGTTTGAGAATATTTAATAATTTGAGAGTTGGAACATGTAGAAACGGGGAATCGTGAATGTGAAATTGCAGGTGTTGTATAAATTGTGTAGGAATTGCGGAAAGAAAGAGAGCTGGGCCTCAGACTAAGCGTAGAATGTGGAGCTTGGTGCAATACACACAGTCCCTAGCGATTTTATATTTTTAAATAGATAAAAGGTTAAATAATATCATAAATATTACTTCCTCCATGCTTAATTTTGTGGGAAATTAGACTTTTGCAAACAAATTGAAATGGTTGGGGAAGCAAACAGTGTTAAAAAGGTATAAAAAGTAAGCTAAAAGAATGAAAATGTATGAAATCGAAAATGAGAAAGTAGAAAAGTTAAGATGACAGTGACGGACAGAAGCATGACAGAGAGCATGTTACAAACAACAACAACAACATTACCCAAGGGGGTCAGATGCACGCAATCTTACCCCTGTACTAAAGCATAGAGAAACCGCTTCCGGATGACTCATGATGAAAATCGTATTGAAAATTACATGGATAGACTGTTGCTTCATAATTTTAGAGAGCCATTTTCCTTTATTCCATCATATAAAAAAATAGTGAGTCTTTGGCATGCATACGAATAAACAACTTAATTTTTCAGTTTTCTCAGGTTCCACTCAATTTCAATGGCAGAAGAGACAAATTCCTCTTGAATAGATAAATATTTGGATTATGTGACTTATGTCATTTAACTCTTTCATGTTTTCTGGACTTGCTACGCTTAAAAGATGAATTCAAAGTTATTTTTGCCTTTTTAGAAGTAATTTGTGTAGTAAACTAGTAATACCTACATCAATTGACCAACACTAATGAAATAATCAACATATTATTTTCAATCACACCATTCATATTAATATGTTATTACAACAACCACACCCAAGCTTTATTCCAAAAGTAAGGGTTAAGAAAATTATAACCCCCAATTTTCAATTTATAAATGAAATCACAACTAGTAATTCACCTACAACATATTCAATAATGAATAAATAATCCCAGAAATTATTAAAATAATAAAATTTAGAAAGCTTACCAGACTCCTCAACAGTCAAGAGAGAGTCAGCGAAAACCGAGATTGAGGTAGCCTATTGGGGCACTGGGCGACTGGCAGTGGAGCATGGAGACAGGCAAGTGCCCGGAGTGGGAGTCTTGTGCCGTGGGCGACGCCGCCAACGCCCGACGCGGCCAGCAGCTCAGCTGGGCCGCCTGAGCGAGTAGGCGGTCTGTCAGTCAGACGCAGGCGGCAGACAGCGGGAGGGTCGAAGAGGGGAGTGGTGGCTTCTCGCGATTTGGCCGTTTTCCGTTCGCTGCGACTGTCGGACTTCAGGGAGAGAGAAGAAGACCGATAGAGCGATCAGATTTCTCCGGACTGTAACTTCGGGTATCAGCAAACATACACTGGGCCAGATTATGTTTGGACATAGCCCAAACTATAAATTTTTATATTCAGCATATATTAGAGCATCTTCAATGCTATAATGTCCACAGTGCACATGTGTCATGAGTGATAGCCACATAATTATTAGCAAATAAATTATTTCTCTCCTTATTTGAATGATTTTATATAATTTTAGTAAGTTTTTCCCTGCAATGTCAACAACAATGTCAACATTAGACGGTCTCCTTGACATTGTGGAGAATAACTTAACAAAACTGTATAAAATTATTCAAATAAGGAGAGAAATAATTTATTTACTAATATTTATGTGGTCATCTCTCATGCCACGTGTGCACCGTGCACATTGTACCATTGAAGATGCTCTTACAACAAAAATTATACTCCGTATGTACAATCAGGTGTATCGGGGACTAGGGGTGGGCGCGGTCCGGAACGGTCCGGTAAACTAGTAAAACCCGTAATGTATCCATTAGGTTTTTAACGGTCCGGTACGGTCCGGTTTCAAGGATGGAACCGTTCGGTACCATGCCGTTTCGGAACGGTACAAAACGGTACGATACAATGCCAAACACATGCTAAAAAATTTGAACAAATCTTGCAATTAGTAGATATCTTCACACCAACCAACTCACATGAAATGTTGATATAAATACAAGAAATTGCATATGTACTATGTAGTACTAAAATTCACAAATACACAAACAGTGCAACACAACTAAGAAAAAGTATAGCAAAACGATGACGTACGAGATAAATGTCATCTTTAATTTACTAAGTTCATGTGAAAATATAAAAAAAAATATCATCAAATTGTTGAATATAATATAAATCTTCAATGTTCTTCTTCGTTCTAGGTTAAATATTACTCCGTAGTTCTAATTTAATTTATAGTTGAACCTTGAGAGCTAAGATTTAAAGTTTAAACCATATTAATTAAGTTGTAAAATTGCGCAAACATGATACCACAAAAAGTCATGTACACTGCATTACTAGAAATGAATAGTCCTTAATGATTTCTAAAATTTTAATATTCTTTGAATACATATCAAAATATAACATAAATTATTTAAAATAAAAAAAAATCACAATATATATATATAAACACACACACTTAGCTAGTTTGGAACGCATGAATACATACTTGGGCTATAAATTAAAATTGTGTGTCTATAAAAGAGATCTATTGGTATAGAAAAAGTATAAAAAATTTAAATGCATTATTTTCTAACGGTTCGGTCCGGTATTTTTCGGTTCTCAAAATCTAGAACCGGTCTCGTACCCGTTTCAAACGGTTCGGTTTCGGTACGGGACAAAAATCTATAGAACCGTTTAAATACCCGGTATTCGGTTCGGTACCATAACGGGACGGCTCGGTACCGGTTCGGTTCGGGTTTTATGCCCACCCCTATCGGGGACATGGTACATCTGTCCCTGGAATAAAATGTAAGAACCCATATGTAATTGATGTAATTATTTATTCATTTAGTGTTTTTATAGTCTTTCTTACTTTTGAGATTTACCATATTTGCTAGTTTGTTGTGGAAAAAATTATGTTGCATCAAACAATATTATTATGAGATAGTATTAAAGGTGAAATAATCTTAAACACCCAACATTTGATTGCAAGATAGGTCACTCTAACAGTCTAACATGATCCTCTACTTTATAGATGAGTGCTGAAAACTAAGTGCAATATCAGAGTGACTCATATGTGCTTCTTTCAAAGGTTTTGTAATGAGTTTTTAGAAACAAAGGATTAATCGGATAAAATCATGATCACATGATGGTAAAAAAAATCTAAAAATTGGACCTAATGTTTTTATATTTTTTTGCACTTGCGGTCCCACGGCCCTACTACCCCGATCAGAAAATTATATAGGTTTAATAATATTATCAGGGAAAATCGCATAATTCGTCCCCCCAATTAGCCACCATATTGAAATCTCGGACCCGTTTTTCACCTTTTTTAAACGTCACCCCCGATTTGTTAGAATAATTTTAAATATCACCCTTGCCGTTATAAATATTACAAACGCTGTCTGTCTTTCCAATTTTTCAGAGTTACACATGTAACTTCCCATCCTTGTACGTTTAAATCCCCGAATCGAATAAAAACTAAACTTCATATGTTGCTTGGGAATCAAAAGCTCTTCAGCCGTTCTTCCTTCGCCTTGAATCAAAAGCTCTCTTTCTTCGTCTGTTCTTCAGCCGTTTGGAGTTTTAAAGAGCTCTCTTAAAAAATTTCAAGTATAGAAATGAAACTAACACATTTGAACAAAAATCTGTTAGTTGCGTACTTGAAATACTTGAAATATATGTACGCACCTGAAGACGAAGAACGGACGAAGGAAGAGAGCTCTTCAAAACTCCAAACGACTGAAGAACGAACGAAGGAAGAGAGCTTTTGATTCAAGGCGAATGAAGGTAGAACGGCTGAAGAGCTTTTGATTCCCAAGCAACAGACGAAGTTTGGTTTTCATTCGATTTGGTGCTTTAAACGAAAAGGATGCAAAGTTACATGTTTAACCCTGAAAAATTGGAAAGAGAGGCGACGTTTGTGATATTTATAACGACGGGGGTGACATTGAAAATTATTCTAACAAATCGGGAGTGACATTTAAAAACGCTGAAAGCCTGAAACACGAGTATGGGATTTCACTATGGTGGCTAATTGGTCTGGGGGACGAAATGTGCGATTTCCATATTATCATGACCACTCACTTTCATACTCCCTCCGTCTCAACTTAAGAGTTTCATTTCCCCCTTTTGGACGTCTCTCTTAAAGGGTCTTAATTCCATTTTAGGTAATAATTTGCATTTTTAAATGATAATATAACCATCAAATGTTAAAAATACTACTCCGTATATCTATAATATCACAATTATCATTAATGACCTCATTATATTATATATCCATCAAAATTATTTCTCAAAATATACTTGATTATCTTATTTAATTTTTGTCTAAATAATTATGTCTTTTTGTAATGAGAATCTTAAGCCACGATGGAAGTACTAGTTTTTAGAGGAAGTCCAATGACTCATTTTTTGACTGAACTTTCTAGTTTATTATAGCATTTGTTCAATGTTAATTATCAATATCCTTAACTTGGATGATTTTCGAACTAGTGACCTCTTCCTTGGGAGTGTCACATTGATGCGTCCTTAAAATATTTGTTTTAAGCTTGCGAAAAAAAGTTAAGGGCGTGACCGCGTGACTCCATATAACTCGTTTAAATGATCTTTTCACTAACTAAGAATGTTTTTACTTGAATTGTTTTCAGTCACAGACCAGATCAGACAAAACTTAAATAGATTACACCAAATTAGATTTAAATAGACTAGACTAGACCAGATTTTTATAGTTGTAAAATACACATAGACTGAAAAGTGAAAACAATTAGAGCCGTCAAAACGGGCCGAAACCCGCGGGTTGGCCCGTTTCAACCCACTTATAAGTGGGTTAGGGTTATCATTTTTTCAGGCCCAATTATTTCGTGGGCTTGGTGGGTCAACCCTAACGGGTTGCGGGCCAACCCGCGGGCTGAAGACAAATACTCCAGACTGACTATATATCTATTTGTCAATATAGACTACATAGCACAGAGGGGAGTAAAATCCAGACAGACCGCGGCAAAGTGCCGAACAAATGAAAGGTCACCAAGGAGATGAAGAGACATCAAATAATTAAGAGTCTCTTTAGGAGTCTGGGAGGAGAAGTTGTATAGAGCCGAACAAACAATCGGTAGACCCAATTATATTAGTTCTCTTCTACAATCTTCCATTTTTAAAACATTTGTAATGATGTTTGCGTTTTTACTTCTGGACAACTTTTTGGACTTACAGAGTGATGAAGTCAATGACAGTCATATATCTTACTACCTCCATCCCGAAAAGGTTCACCATATTGATTTTTCTTGATCAAAGATGACAAACTTTGGACAATGATTTTGGTTAGTATATTTGTTTATAATTTATATAACTTTTATACTTTTATGAAAATATTTTTAATAAGGAATATTTTTTTGTATAATTTTCATATTCAAAATAATATCATATAAAAATATCATTGATTAAAGTTGATTATCATTGATCAAGAAAAGTCAATTTGGCGAACCTTTTCGGAACGGAGGGAGCATTACTTTAGTTGTCTTTGGATTTTAATTTAGATATTTATTTATTTTTTGTTTTGACATTGGTGGCCTGCGGGTTGGCCTGCGAAACTTGTGGGTTAGGTGGGCTGGGTCAGGGTCACAAAAACTCTGGCCCGACAGTAAACGGGTTGGCCCGCCCTGACCCGTGAAACTCATAACCCGTCACGGGTCGGGGCGGGTTGGCCCGTTTGATAGCTCTAAAAACAATTTGATTTTCGTATTTTTTTTCTTTTTCTGTTTCTATTTATAACATTCAAATGGTTGGTTTGAGTTACTTGAATGTTTCGTTGTTTATAATTCTTTGTGTTGGCGTCTTTCTACAGACACATGGATGACAGGAGAGACTGTTTACGAAATAGACCAAAGTTAAAGTCAACGTTGACAGAGCTTTGGATCAAGGGCGAGGTAAAAGATCATGGGGCCAGGTAGCTCGAGATGAAGGGGGGAACTTCCTATGTGCGGGCAGCGAGACATGCAAAACTACTTTGTCTTCTTTTACAACGGAGGTCATGGCTATTCGGGAAGCAATTTTGCGAGCGAAGCAACTTTGTCTCGAGTGATTATTGAGATGGACGCTCTTCTTGTTACTACGAGAGTTTCAGGAGATAGCAGAGCTTCTTATCTTGACCTTATTGTTGAGGATATTAGAATTCTGCTTGAGGATGAAGCGAATTATTCTGTCAGTTATTGTAAACGATCCGCGAATAGCGTAGCTCACACGTTAGCAAGGGCTAGCCTTTCATATGCGGATGATAGAGTTATTTTCCATTCAGTTCCTGATTGCATATGTAGCCAGTTGGCAAATGACTCTTTGATTTAATTGGATATGGTTTTTCTTTAAAAAAACAAAGTTTTAATTTACATTTTATTTCTTTTAAAGATTTCTATTTATATCATCCAGGGGCGGCTTGAGCACTATAGAGGCCCCGGGCAAAAACTCACTTTATATTAACAAATTCTATCGATTTATTTTCTATAATATAAAATATTAAAAATGAGAAACAAGATTTTTAACTCATTCAAATCACTAACAACAATTAAGTGGTCACTAAGATTATTGACATTCTCGTTTGAATCATTATCCTCACTATCATAATGAACGTTTGTATTATCATTGTCAACTAATTCTTTTCTTTTTATATATCATAAGTCTTTGATTTGTCCTTCATGAAAATACTAAATACAGAGCTTAATTAACAAAAAAACACAAACAAATGAGTCAACAAAAAAGCTAAAGTTTAAGGCTAATAAGACTAATAATATAACTAAACTCTGGCAAGGGAAGAAGAGCATAAGGCAGCGGGTGGTTGCGCCGTCCGGCTCGCAGGTTGGTGTTGCATGCCGCATTGATGCACCAACGTTTCTCTATTCCTCTTAGTATGGTTTGGTAGCTGGCTTAACTTCATTGAGTCACTGCCAATTAGGATTTAGGAATAGGAAGGGATTTGGACATTTTTATTAATGGTTGTTTCGGTAGTGATTGCCAAGTCTTTCCATTTCTAATTCTACGTACTAACGGTAGGCCTGGACTCGGGCCGGGTGGCCCGACCCGGAACCGGCCCGAACCGGCACTGTTCTGGCCCGGCCCGGTGGCCCGGTCAGTGACCGGTCCGGGTAGGCCCGACCCGCGTGGGTTCCGGTCCGGGCTCAGGCCCCCCAAATCATGAACCGGCCCGGTTCCAGGCCTTTTTAATTTGTTTTTTTTTTCAATTTTTTTTTTTTTTACTTTTCGGGTTGGGTTGGGCATTTTGGGTGGTTTGGGGTGGTTTGGGGGTGAGGGGGGTTAACTAGGGAAAGGGAAAAAAACAAAGGCCTGAGGCCCGGCCCGGCCCGAACCGGAACCGGGGATTACCCGGGCCGGTTCCAGGCCCCCCATTCCAGAACCGCTGGCCCGGCCGGGCCTAGACCCAAACCGGCCCGAGTCCAGCTCTAACTAACGGCAGTTCATGAGCTTGATCTCATCAGCGACTTTTCGTAAGTACTATGGATGTATGGAAAAGGTTTTTTGTTGATTTTCTTTTCTATAGTTTCTTTATTGCAAGGAAGAAAGAAGAAAGGGCAGTTTGAGAAGGGCTATGGAGGAATCATGTGCACATGAGAGGGAGCAACTGCCCTTACAATAAACTCACATCCCTCTCCCTGGCTCAGTCCGAACAAAAAGAACGTAATTATAATTATTCTTAACACTAATCTTTTTAATTTTTGATGCCACTAGAAATGAGAGGCCCTAGACAAATGCCTACCTTAACTGGGCCTATAGCAGGCTCTGATATCATCCTCCCCTTTTAGGCTTTAGCAAATTTACGTATTTTTTTTTTTACCTTTTTTTGCAATTCTTTTTTTTTTAAAGGTGCAATTCTCTTCAATTAATGAGATATTATTAATTCACTGCATCACATAAAAATATAAAGGGGTTTTTACTTGGATATTACTAATTTTGAACCAATTACCTAAAAAGTGACCACTTTTAAAAAGCGGCAAAAAAGTGATCAAGAAGGTCATATATGTGCAATTAGAAAACATGATGTAACTGCAAAAAAATTTATGTCATTGCGTATTCGTTTTTTTTTCTACAGCCACCACCCATGTCACTACAACCACCGCACGTGTCACTATAGCCACCGCTCGTGTCACTGTAGCCACCGCCCGTGTCACTACAACCATCGCCCGTGTCACTGCAACCACCGCCCGTGTCACTGTAGCCACCGTCCGTGTCACTGTAGCCACCGCCCCTGTCACTTTCCATCACCAAATCTGCCCCGAAACATCATCCCACCTGCCAACATCGCAGCCTTGCACCGCCAGCTCAGCAGCTTCTACTGCCAACCTCCCACAATACCCCCCCTTCCTCTCCCAACCCCCTTTTCTGCCCCCCAGCCCCGTCCCTTGCACCCCCAGCCCCCTCCCCTGCTCCCCCCACACAGCTTCACACCATTGCCAACCTAGTCCCCTCCTCTGCTACCCCAGCCCCCACTGCTTCTCAACCCCATCCCCAGCCTATCTGCCACAACGCCGCCCAGAACCGCCAACACTTGACTTCACCGCCTCCACTCGCCGTAGATCCGAGATGGAGATGAAGAAAGGAGAAGAAAACGAACTGTGGCGAGGAATAGATGGAGACAGAGGATTTAGAGGCGGCCTCCCCTGGTGACCGGCATAGGCGAAGCAGAGATCTGGTCAGCGGAGCGGCGCGGAGATCTGGTCGGCGGAGCGGCGCGGAGATCTGGACGGCAAAGGAGCTTGTGCAAAAGTATTCAAAGTTGCAACCTGTACGGCGAACGAGCTTGTCCTGGACAGCGAAGGAGCCTCTGCCGAAGTCTTGTGCGTAAGTTGAAAGCAACGGAAGTGCTATGTTGTAGGAGTCAGTTTTGTGGGATTTTTTAAAATGGTCATAGTTTGGTCTAAGAGAAGTTGAGAAGTTATATCGAGGCCATTATTTCAAATATAAAATGATAATACCTAAGATGTCAATCACCCAAATGACATAAGAACTCATTATGAAATGTGCAACTTCCACATATTGGACTCCTTGGGTTGGGCTATTGAACTGTATAGACGCATGCTGCTGGATTGGGTTGAACAAGGAACACTATGGAACCAAGTTAAACGTTCCCGGCCTGGAACAGTATGTTCCAACTCAGACCCGACTAAGTTCTACCAAGTATATACGAAGTATATTCTAGAGTCTGCAGTGCAGTCGGTGCACTGAAGAATGAATAGAGGATTACAAAGGTAGGGTAGAGAGTAATTTAGGAAAACAGTTAGGGATCAATGTTAATTTAATAAAAATATTCGTATAAGATGTAATTTTAAGGCCCAATCAAATCTTTAAGGCCTTTTTCTTCTTCAAATCAAGACCTTCCCTATCCCAATTTCAAAGCCCAGCTTTTCTCATCGAAGATTGCAAAACAAAGATGGGCAATTCACGGAATAGAAAACATGTACGCACAGTCAACTTGCAACATACAGTGATACAGTCAGTTCTCAGTTGGCAAAATTGAACTCCTTAGCCAATTTTGTGGAAGAAACTTATAAGAATCTATTTAGGAAATAGGGTCAGAAGGCATTGTTCACAGCCAGTGAATTTGAATGAAACCAAATGTTTTTTAGCTGCCATCAAAGAAATGGACTTTGGATTAAAAACACTCATTGAAATGCCCATATCATTAAAGCCTGAAATTGAATGACACTAAATGCTAAAGCGACTTCCTCTACCATCAAGAAACTGGTCAGTATGCCACCCTTTTGCCTGCAGCTCACATAGAAATGGAATGAAAACATTGTTCATCTTCTCATAAGCCTCTTGCATGCAGTTCTCACTTGAATTATGAAATGGTTTTTCCATTGCTGAAGCATATGCAGCAACCAGCCATCCCCTCAGAGCGTCTTCCCCTGTAGCATTATGCTCCAATATCATGTCCGTAGATCTAGGTCCACGACACAGCAAAAACTTTTCTTCAGGAAAAACTTCTTTAAGTTGTCGTAAATGTGAAGGCCGAACAACTTTACTCAGATTTCTTCCCACCTTAACGCTTCCAGCATCCTCTATTATCCGTCCAGGAAATAAGAGATCCTCTTGATATCGTAAGTCAGCTGGGCTACATATTTTTCCTGTCTGGTTGAAATTGGAATAAATTAAATTTTAGTTTAAAAATGAAGGCATGCATACATATCTCATCATGTCTGACTTGTGCATGAACCTTCACAAAGTTTTTCACAATCAGTGCAGTACGTTGCGGGTTCAATGTGTTGACCGGTGTAGCTTTCATTTCTTCAGTGACACAGCTGATATGTATGACAGCTAGTAGAGGTCCAATAACCATCTGCACCACCACCAAAAGAGGTAACAAGGTTAGCTGCATAGTCCCATAATGCGGAGTAAGCCACTTTCTCCACATTCGGTTTCAACACAAGTGAAGTTCTCATCACTATACTTCTTTTAATCAGACCAGAACTTGCCTAGAAGATTTAGACTTGACCAGACCAAAAATCATGAGGTCAACAAACTATGTGCTATATTCCAACTTCCAAGCAAGATAATTGAACCAGGCCAAAAACATTATGGATGAGAAATATGTAGATAAGACTAGACTAGAAAGATGACCAAACAAGATGTTTCAAATTCATATCAAATCACATTTTCAGGGCAAGAGAACAAGTCACAAAGACCTAAAATAGTAAAATGAATCCAAAGTTTTATATGTATCACAAGGCAGAAAACGAATACACATTTATTAATGCTAAAGGTAAACAATTGTACCTTTCCTTGCGTTGATGAACAAATGGTAGATGCTAACTGAATTCCAAAGCCAATTCCAAGAACATTAAACACTGTGGATATAGCTTCACCTTTTGCAAAAAGGTCACTAAGGTTGCCTTCTTTTGCAAATGATGAATATATCGGTAACCTTGTTGCTCTTGCTGCAACAACAGCCATTCCCTGGCAATACAAAATGTAAAAAACTACCAAAAAAAACTTTAGACACCAAAGAAATGAGTAGAAGATCCACAAATTTGAGTACAAATCAACGTATGCTTTCTATAGTTTAGGCAGTGCAAGAACCAATAGAGTATAGGACAACAAAATGAGAAGAAGAAAACAAGCTCATGAGACATTTTATAGCCAAATGTAAGTCAGCAGCTAAGAGCTGGGAATAAATTGCAGATTTGTTTTTATAAAATTGAGTGATTCCCTTATATGATGGAATAAAGCAAAATGGCTCACTAGACTGGCTGTGCTACTTTGTTATGAAGCAACAGTCAGTCCATGCAATTTTGGACGTGATTTTCACTATGGGTCATCCTGAAACAGTCTCTCTGTGCTTTAGTAAAGAGGTAAGACTGCGTACATCGGACCCCCCCTTACCCCACCGTAGGTGGGAGCCTTTGCGGCACTGGGGTAAATGAAAATGATGAGTGATTCCCTTACACCAACGCATTGTTACCTTTGCAAAATTTCCAAGGCTGGCCATCTGAAGAAACAACTGAGGACATAAAGGAGACAAAACTTCTAACCCAGTGCCGAAGTCATAGAGAACATCAGCTGTTAGGAAGAGAGTGCATTCCATGTCAAAATTAGGATATTGATCAATGCAAACAAAATACAAATAAAATGGAATAATGAAGTAGAAGTAAATACTGACAATTCGAATATATTTAAGAATGTGGAGCTATGGAAAGGCAACGAACCTAAAACTCGCCAACTTTTAGGCTCAGAGTCCATCCTTGCACCTAAGTTGCTACAAATAATCTTACCCACGTGCTGCATCCCATCTTTGAGAATCTGCATATGAAAAATAAAAGATTAACAGTTTCAGAAGAAAGTACCTTTGGAAGTTTATTTAGATTAGTTTTTTGAAAATATTAAGATCTTACCCAACTCACGGCAGTTGCTTGTGCAGGTGTAGCTCTTAAGCCTGCAGCAAATAGTAAGGACTGCAACGAAGTAAGATTTCACGGAGACAGCTAAGTTACATTGACATTGTTCAACAATAATTTTTCATTCTATATGATGAAATCACAGTTATAAGCATGATGTAAAACTTGTCCAGGCACCATATTCAGTTAACAGATGTCCTTTGACAAATCTACCGTGACGTAATATTAGTATTAAATCAGGTTATGCTTTCAAATAAACACAAGTCGATAAGCTATGCTGTTGGCTTCATAGTTAGAATAATACCTGAGTTGACAGAACAGATAAAGCTGCACTGGAGAAGTGTTGTAATGCTCGGAACTGTGTGTATCTGAGATAACCCTCATTCACACTGCAGCATAAGCACAGCATAACTTCGATGAATAGACTCTGATCAGAAAATTGCCAAAAATACTTACTGCGAGATTATCCTTGCAGTAAATTAAAGTATGCATCCAGCATAATCACCAGTTTGGATTAGATGGCCGCACCTATATGGATATCCTGAGGGGAAAAATTTGTTCACAAAAGTTTCAACCACTTTCTGCCCAATAGATCTAGAATCATCAACAATATTTACCTGAACAAGGTAAAACAGTATTGTAAAATGAAACTCTGTATATACTATGTCCGCAGCAGCAGCGGTTGAGGGATTGAGTTTCTTGAGGAAACTCAAGTAAACAAAAGGCGTGGCAACAAAGCATCAGAAGAGGCTAGCTTACAGATAGCTGACCATCAGCTTCGAACTGGAAGCGGCGAGACACGGAATTCGAAGTCTCAATCCAAAACACCTGAGTTTCCGGCGGCGAAGGACTGGTACCCTCCGCGTCCTTCTTCGGCATCTTTACCTTCTCCTATATATCATTATCGCAAATGAAAAGGTCTCCGAGTGTAAAACTTGTGAAAGGAAAGAGAAATAAGAAATGGAGGAGATGAATACCAGTAATAAGTTCATATTGAAAATTTCAGAAGATAGCGGGTGAGCTCTGCCGGAGAAGACGGAGCAGGCAGCAGTCCAAGGCTTGGTTTACAGTTGATTGTGGGCCAAAATTAAAACAAAGTTGGTTTTTGGTATTGTACAACCGGTTCGCACACGAACAGTTTATACAATTATTTTTATTTGCAAAAAGTCTTGGCGTACACCCTGGGTTACACCCTGGGGTACACCATATATAAGGCTTATTTTTTACTGCTTTCTTTACCCTCTCTCGCACAAGACTCCCATCCCCAATCCTCACACACCTTTCTTTCTCTCCCACATGTCTCTCTGTTCGTTCTCTTCTTCCCGTGATTCTCTCCGTTTTTTTCAAATCTCATGGATGATTTTCTAGCATATTTGATGGTGGATGGAGAAGTGACCGGAAACAGTGGAGGTTTGGAAGATACCTACCTGAGACAGACGATGGACAACACAAATGGAAGAAATGCAGAAGCTCTGAACGTCGCTGTGAACGAGGAAGATGGAGCTGCGACGGAGGACGGAAATGGTGGAGCTGTGAACGAGGAAGATGGAGCTGCGACGGAGGTCAGAAATGGTGGAGCTGTGAACGAGGAAGATGGTGGTCCGAACAACCCTAGGGACGAAGACTTAGATGGGACGGGTGGCGGACCTGTGACACAAGGCGTCAACGAACTTCCGATACTTGACGGTTGGGATGATTACAGCTGCGATAGGGAAGAGAATAGCAGGGAGAAGACGAATGCTGATGTTGGAGGTATTTTCTTTGACACACAGACAACTTACATACTCAGTGTCGGTGTGTACCGACAACTAGTGTCGTTGTGTACAGAGTAGTGTCTGTATGTGTAGACAATTGAAGAAATCCTCATTGAGTTAATGTATACCTACAAAGATGAATGTTTTATCTATAAATGAGTTAATCACTAGTATTCAATTTACCCTTATTCACATTTGCTAAGTGGAAAATTTATAGAGGAGTTGTTTTTAATGAGGGCATTGACAATAATAAAGTATTCAATGTTTGATTCAATTTATCACCCTAGTGATCGACTTGGTCAACGAGTCATTGTTTGAAAAGCAAGGTGTATTTGATTTATATGTGCGAGAGTATAAATTTGGGTTCCTATCTCTAGCTAGTTGGCTAACTAGTATTGGTTTCATCATAAAAGTTGAGTGCTGCAAACCATTAAATTTGATTTCAGATTTGCTTTCTTTTGACTAGTAAGTTCTGATAGTGGTTGCCAAGGTTTATCATGAAAGTTATGAAATGGAAAGATTACTAGTTTTCATTGTGGTTTTTTTCCTATAATAAGTTCTTGTTTTGTAGACAATATTCACTTGGTAAGTGTTTGTGTGCCAATATGGTTTAATTTGTAATTGTTTGTAAGTTGTTATGTAACATTACCGAAGTATATGTTCTTTTTTTTGTGAGTTATATACAAAAGTGGGAGATTGATGAAGTCATCTGTGTTTCTGCATGTTCGTAAGTGTTTGTGAAACAGTGTGTAAAATTGTCTGTGTACACCAACATTAATGTATGTACACTTCTTATTGTTAACTTTGTCGACACTGGTTGTACTTGCAGCACTAAAGAGTGTGGAGTCATGGTCATGGTGTTTGTGAAGAATTTGCTGTTGCAATTACCATTAAAATCAGGTTGTGACTACGACAACATGTGGCACGTTAGATGTCAGTTTGCTATACGACTTTGGCATTTGAAGAAGAAACCTGATTGACATTTATTGCTCATTTTTCACTTGTAAATATGTTGGAGATGAAGTGGGGTAGTGAATGTTTAAGTTTAAGATTTGGATTTGAACATGACATTAAGTTTGTTGTAATGTAATTTAAAGTTTCTTTAATTTTTATACTTGTGTGACTTAAAGACAACTTCTATTACTACTCGTGAACTTGGACCACAAGTCCCAAGGGCAAATGTATGAATTTTATAATTAAATTTGAACATGACATTGGGTTTGATGTAATGTAAGGATCATTGTTCATGCATTTGGACACTGTTATAGGTGACTGGTGACTTGCTTGTTATAACTACACATTAAGTACTTATAAACAGACATTATTGTCCGTGTGCACTGACAATAGTATCAAAAAAACAGACACTATTATCGGTGCACACAGACAAAAATAACAACAACACACATTATTGTCGGTGCACACAGACAATAATAAGAACAAGACACAAGTATTATTGCCAGTGCACTTAAACAATAATTACAACAACATAAGTATTATTGTCGGTGCACACAGACAATAATTACAACAACACATGTATTATTATCGGTGCACACAGACAATAATAATAAACACACCTATTACTATCGATGGACACAAACAATAATAACAACAACAGACGTATTAATGTCGACACACATAGACAACAATAAGTATGTTAACATACAATATGTTACCACAAACACATTTCCATTACACAAACTTAGTGTCCAAAGCATCACAAACTCAGTCAAAAGTCAAAACAACATGATTCTAAACAATGTGGCCTTTAAGTCGTACTACTCCCTACTGCTCCTTATAAACGCGTGAAAGACTCTTGATCTGTGGGAGTTGATCACCGCCTAATTGATCGAGTAACATTACATCTACATACACCATGCTAGCACTGATTCATCCATCTCCACTTGATTTAAACTATAGAAAAGGCAGTTTCTGTGAACAGCTTCTGTGAACCAACTGCAAAGTTTTAGAATGAAAAAAAACACATAAGCCACATGCGATGATAGCAGGCATCTGAATATAAAAGTGCATCAACATTAAATATGGCTCTACTGCAAGCTTGTATTTGTCAATTAATTAGGCCGCAAAGACCAAACACCAAACAAGATGTACAACTTATTCTTATAGAATTAAGATACAAAACTGTTGCAAGATTAATTAAACGTCCAGCTATAATTCCGTGTTGATTTGTACCCTAAGAAAAAAAATAAGCCTAAAATGAATCTTGATATATACATGGCTCCAACCCTAAGCATTAAAATCAGTTTCGTTCAGTCCACTTTAACCTTTCATTTTCCACAATACCAACATCCCCCCTCACACATTCTCCCTTGAGTAAGAACACAACTTATACAAAAAAAAACGAGCAGGTCTTTTCTTCTCTAAAACTTGGAGCTGATTGTCTAGATACCACTATTGAGGTAGCAACTAATTTTAGATCTCAACTTAACAACCAACGATAAACGAACTAACTACTTCTTTAATTTAATAATAAAAATATGTTTTCACTTCTAATGCATTTTCCAAGGTAGAGGAAAATATGATAATTAAACTCCATGCAGTTCTAGGAAACAAGTAATCATAATAATGTCAATTATATACTCTATTATATATATGAACTTCATGCAGTTCTAGACGGATACAATTGTCGGTGCACACATACAATCATAACAATTATGCATATACTACTGTCGGTGTACACAGATAATAATAACTACACATATATTACTATCGGTGCACACATACAATATAATAACCACACAAATATTAGTGCCGGTGCACACAGACAATATGAACAAGTCAAAAATAGGTATAACAAATTCAATCTGAGAGTGAACAAGAACCTCATGTAAGTGTACACCAACTACTTAAGCTATACACAAACAAATAAAAACAATTTATTCTCTCACTTTTCTAAAAACTTGCACAAATACCTCACAGACAGTTTTGTACTCTTTCATAACAACTCACAGACAGTTCAAAGTCAAATCATCTTGCTACACCGACACTGCAATTCAAACACTTAACCAATATTGGTTCATACTTCGAATTTTAAACTTTTCATACACATACGCATCACCTAAAGTACAAACAAACATCATTAAACATCAAATTTAACAAAATGCATTCATAACCATGAATATGTTCAACTTAAATCCAAAAAATGATGACTTGAAACATATTGTACGTTGAGCCATGTCGGACAAGTTTGTTTGCACCATGGCCGCCTTTTTCTTTCTGCAACTGAGCCTAGATTTCGTCTTCAACAACATCAAATACCCAAATCAAATGGTTTCATCAATCTCCCACTTTTGTATACAACTCAAAAAACAAAAGCACTTTAAAATGTACACAAACAAATACAAACAATTTCATATCACAAATAATAATTTGAACAACAAAAACACACCAAATGGCTTCAATGACATGCCACTTTTGTTTATAACTAACACAAAAAACTCACAGACAGTTGGCTAATCTTAAGTAAGATCTCACAGACAACTCAAGTCAAACCATCCGGGGACACAGACATCGCAAATCTGCAATTGAAACACACAATAAACTATTGGCTCATACTTCCAATTTTATACTTTTCATACACATATGCACCACCTAAAGTACAAAATAACATCATCAAACGTCAAATGAATAAAACGTAAACATAATAATGAATATGTTCATCTTAAATCTAAAATAGAAAATAAAATGGAAGACTTGAAACATACAATTGAGCCATGTCGGACAAGCTTGTTCACACCATGACCGCCTTTTTCTTTCTATCTTTCTTTCTGAAACTGAACCTAGATTTCGTCTTCAAAAACATCTAATACCCACGCACCTTTGCCTTTGACCGTCCGCCATCTACGAACTCCATCTCAGACGATGGAGTGGCTGGAGTTTCGGAGCAATCCTCTCACGGTTGCCGGTTGTGGGAATGTGTGAAAGATGGAGAAAGAGGTTGGTAGGGAGGCGAGAAAGAAACATGAGGGAGGCGGGGTTTTTTCCCTCAAGAATGGAGCGGATGAGTTGAGACACGCGAGAGAAATTGTTGGAAGATAAAAAAAGACGGGTAATTTTTGGGGGAGAGTATATATATGGTGTACCCCAGGGTGTAACCCAGGGTGTACACCAAGACTTTTTGTTTTATTTGTGATATAGATAAACCTGTCTATATGGGGTGTGTTTGGATCTGATTATGCTTCTTTTTAAAGCAGAAGCGGAATCAGAATCAATTTTCAGAAGCTGGTCTTATCGGATTCCAAAAAAACTGATTCTAGGAGTAAATTAGAGATTCAGAATCACTTCTGCATTTTCACCCAAACACTCTGACTTTTGCTTCTCCTCCCTGAACGAGCAGTTTTAAGAATCAGATCCAAACACCCATAGATGATAAAACACACGAGTTTACAAGAAGCAAAATTCCAAAATTAAAAATACTGATTTTACTTACATTGGTAACTTTAGAGAGGTTTAAATATGTTTGCAGTTTTTGTAAACACATTACATTTTGTTTTATATCTTTGTAATTTTTTTTCACTCATGTATTCATTTTATATTACCAGTGATGATAACAACCTCTTTAAACAATGAAACAATCCCGACAAATATGTTCCCTCTCATTCTTTGCCATGTTATTCAAAAAAATATTTTTATTTTTAAGACGGTTATTAATATATACTCTAAAATTGTGAATAATTAATTTTACGTTGTTTTAACTCTCAAATTAGTCTAAAAAAATTTATGAAAGAATAAATTTACAAGGTACCTTGTAGTACTACGCAATCAACAATTTTTTCTTCAAAATAGTGTGCTTTTGGAGTAAGAGATGAACTAAAAAAAATAAAATAGTGCATATTACAATATAAAAAACTTTGCAGAGATATAAAAGATAGTGTGTCATATATTTGTAAAGATTATAAATGTATTTAAGCATTTTAGAGGGGAGGGGGGACAGATTTTGTTAGCAAAATAATACGGAGTATTAAAATTGTGATTTTAACCAGATAAAAGTCTTGAGTTGAAAAAATCACGAGACAAACTGTCAAATGCAAGAAAAGAAAATAATAATAATAATAATAATAATAATAATAATAATAGTAATAATAATAGTAACAATAGTAATAGTAATAATAACAACAATAATTAGAAGAGATGGATTGGGGGGACCGCCCCTCTTGAACTTTCAATATTTTCTATTATATGTATAATATATAATTCATAAAATGTTCATACTTTAATTAG